ATCAAAAATAAAAGGATATTTCTCAGCAATCGGCGTTTCTCATAAAAGATGAAATAAATTTGACTCTCAATTGCAAAATTGCACGCTTTTTTGCGCAAAATACCAATTTGCACATCACGTATTGTTATCAATTATTCTGACGGATTTAGTCTTTCGGAGCCACTGCGCTATGCGAGAGATTCTCCCGACTCATGAGTAGCTTCGGGAATGCAATTGGCGGGAGTGCGAATTGCGATTGTCTTCTGCAGCGCGAGCATGGATTTTCTCATCAGCCAGTGAACCACTTGAGGCCAGGTATTTATGATTCCATGATTTTCCATTTGGGGCCCCAATGAAATTCAATAACAGGTGTGATGAAGCACACACTTCACAATTCGAATTCAATTATCGGCGCATTAGTAATGATATACACGAACGCATCGTAAATTCTCCTCCATCGAGAGGAATATTTCACGGGTGATTATATTGTATTTTCACTCCGGTTCTGATCGTCTTCACCCAACTTCCACAGAATGTTAATGTGTAAAAGATGAATTTCTCTGAATTGTTCCATCCGTCTAATTGGTCAAATCTGCACGCTCTGCTGTGCAATATCGAAGGAGGTGCAGAAATGCTGCTCTCAGGCGCGAATTCTTATGGGCAAGTGATTAGGTGTCTCTCAAATTGTGAAGAAACTACTGTGCAGCGCTGGTGAATATGCGCTCCATGCTAAATATGCATATTGATTGCTTGACACACATATTCAACAGTGGACGGTGCGTTTTGTGTGGCTCCGCAGGTCGGTCTTTGATGTCTTCTCTCTTCATTTCACATACGTATATATTCCAGGATATTAGCCGTCAGGTAACATATGCACCGAAGAAGCAGAGGATGTTGCTTTAATGCGGCTGCTGCCGCTGCCAGAAGTGATCTCTGATCAGATTACAAGATATGAGAGCAATTTGCACTGGGAGAACCTCCCATGTAATCAGCTCTTTTAATTGAAACTGTTCCAATTCAATCTAGCCTGGTCACTTTTCGTTCCCACATTATCCCGAGCTAATGACGAATTCACCTGCATTCTTGTTTTCATTTTTGTAATCTTAATTGCGACCATACACCGCGCCGGGAGACGACTCTAGAGCCATGCAAAGTAATCCTAGAGGCACGGCTTGAGGAATTTTCGCATGTCCCCGCGACGATAGTGTACACAATCTCCCAAAGCCGGTCCCCAGCGATCTAACTAGACGCATATCTCACTGTTGACAGAATTTTCTAATAATAAGAATTATACATTGACTAGCTGACCAGACGCTCAGCTCAGCGATTTTCTTATTGATTTTGGATGACTCTGGACGATAAAAATAACCCATGGAGGAATTGTTGACAGCAGATTTGGTGGAAAAACTTGAGAATTCGGGTAACAGAACGACGTAAATTGTATGGGTAATTCGGGAACTCACGTGAAATTTGTTTATTGTGACACTCGCAAGAATTTCTGCCCTAACACTGTTGACAGAGTTTTTCTCAAAATTTCATTGTTGTTTTAAATCACGAGACGAGTCATTCTCAAGAGATTATCTGAACTTAATTACTTCTCTTTGCAACCTGCTACGCTATTTTACGATCACTTTCATTTAGACATTGAGAGTTAACACACAAGATTCCAAACTTGAATTCTATGCTTTTGAGATTTATGGTCAGCCAGGGCGTCCTCCGGAAAACACAAGAGACGGTAGAAATTCAAGGAACATTTGAAATAACAAAGTTAATGTAGAGGTAGTTCAGTGGATCATTAATCTTTGGGAAAACAACAGAGAAAACATTGCAAAAAATTCAATTCACATGAGAACTCGGGATATCCTTAATCACGTGCTACTAAAGTCACGAAGTTTCATGATCATTCATTTCATATTGCTGCATTTTTACAGCCTGACATGCCACTATATTTGCTTGACGAGAAAGGTCATGCTTGGGATTTCGAGTGCACATTTTCAAGCTGTGCCGGAGCACACATTGAAATTTATTAAAAACACCACGTCAAAAGTTAAGAACAGATGTACCCCACTTACAATTCCTCTCTTAATCTCGCAAATCGTCACTGCAAATTAGCATCAGTTTTCACCCTAAACAGAAACGCGGCACCTAAAGATTAATGAACAGACATGGTGATTTTCATTGAATTCTTAGCAAATGATTGATTCACTACTTCATATCAGTTACGCGTGCAAGTTTAATTAAATTATCACAACTCCACCAGCAACGTCTAATCATCACTTTTATCCTTGTGCCGAATGATGATCATTAGGGAGATGGATATTGTGGGAAATTTCGGCACTTTTTTCCGTGTCCACAAATTCCATCCGCCGCATTTCTCCGTCGTCGATACATGAACTTGCGTCAGAGATAGGTCATGTGGAAAATATTCAATTTGATGAAAACACACTGATTTTAATTACGCAAAATTAATTAACACTATAGAGTCAGATGTGCGCAAACACAATAGGGCTAGTCAGGGCGCGGTGTGGATCTTTGTTTGACTTGCATTTACACTTTATAATGCCAGTCAAATAAATGAATTTCACTAATCTCTCAGAGGGTGTTTGGTGCACTTTTATTGTCGTTAAATATTATTTCCTTTCTGTGGACTGAGAGGGCGTACAAATGGAAATATTCGTCAATTACGAGACAAAGAGAATGGCGCCGGGTTTTGTTTCTCTGCGCGCATTATTTTTCTATTCAATTGAACCAATTTGGGGATTTACTGTTGGTACAGCTCATCATCAAAGGAGCAAGACATCCTTCGTGAAATTTTCATGGACCCCTCTTTTCATCTCACGTGAGCCAGTGTGACTGAACAAAGAGAATTCATTGCTATCTATAACATCCACCACATTCTCACTCTCTAAACCCAATCATTTTTAATTAAAGTCCGTGTCTCTCTCGTTTTATTCCCCGCCTCTAAATGATTGTTTATGTCATGAGTAATTCACACACAAGACGGATAAATCTAATAAAGCGCGATATTATTCCTCCTGTTGTTTTTCCAAAGTGGAAATTAATACCCGGGTGTTTCGCCCCGTCCATATGTGCGTGATTTTAATTCGCTAATTGCACCAATGTGGCCATTTGCAGCGGCCACCAATCAGATACAATAAGAATTGAAATCACGGCCGAGACTTTCACCTCGTCAGGCGGGCTTTTTATTTGCTGGATTATTAATAAAAATGCACGCGAGTGTGAGTGAGTACCCATAAAATAAGGCGGAGTTGTTTTGCATACACAACTTTTATTTAATTCCTTCTCCCGCCACAAAACCCTCCGTGTATTGTCGCTCGATCTCAACTCTGCAACTTAAAGTCTAAGCGTGCGCTTTGGCTGTTCTATTAGGATTTTATTTCTCCTTAATTTCGGACCCTAAGGTGACAATTTAGAATACATACAAAATTACTTTAAAATTCATATGAACAATTCCCCTTTTTATTCCATTATTTTTCTCTTGCACGTCAACTAGATTTAAATGCTGAATTTACATTCTATGATATTCTGGAAAGTCTCTTGATCTTCCTTCCCCACTATTTTCGTGGTGTTGCCGCGGCACCAACACTCTCATGAATTTGCGCCCATTGCAAACAATTGAGATCCCATACGTCAAATGAGGGCTTTGTTTCATTATGCTATTAGTAATGTTTGAATTAATAATTTTCAAATCACATGTATTTGTTCACTCTTTTCTATTTGCACACATGAATTTTTCTCCGAAACGAAGGAAGAAATAACTTGTTGCCGATGCCGAAAGTTTCCCAAATTCTCACTCTTCCACCTTCGCATGTCCCCTCCTTCTTTATTCTCTCTCCTACTGATAAGATAAATGTCTCAAATTTTTTTTTGTTTCTCCCCAAAAAAGCAGCGCGAGACGCATTGCGGGCCAGAGGGAGTGTAAAGTTATACAATTACTTATGTTTTATTGATGCACTTTACATTTAGCTGACATGTCATTCAACCTAAATATTTGACTTTCTTTTGCATGGAGTGTGAAGGTGAAAGACACCGCTTTTCATGTCTCGAGACCCCGCGAGGAGAGGATAGGAAAACACAAGCAGAGTTTTGGTGGCGGCAGCCTGTTCAAATAATCTGCGCATCAATTTCGTTGTCAGATATCGAAGACCGATTACTCGTGGTGATAACAGTAGTGATAGTTAAATTAATCCCTTCAATTGATTTCTAAGCGCCACACATTTGAGTTGTGTGTAAATAGTCATTTCAATCATAACATACAATGAGGAATTCCAGGCCGCGGCTGGAAGCACGAGACGTAATATTTCCTCCGCCCAGATGAATACAAAAGATATCACTTTTTGTGCTACATTCTTCAACATTTTCTCATCAAACTCACCTTCCGAGCGATAATGAAAGTTTCGAAATAAAATTATGACTTATACCCCGTGAATGCACGGCCTTTATCGTAATGGACAGTCAATAGCTTTATCTGGAGATTCCTGAAAACCCACATGAAATCTCACGAATGATTTTCCAAGTTTATCATCCAAGGGATTTGTATATTTCCTGCTATTACGCTGTGTTGATTATCGAAAATTCGCATTTTTCCAATTCCATTCGCGATACATTAGCGGAAATAATTCCATTCACATGACTTTCAGCTTTTGAGACACACCAATGTCCGCCTGATTCTTCAATCACTGATACCAATCAAATCAAAACATATTTTTGCCATGCGTACTACTAAATCACGTGAACTATTCCACTTGAACATTTCCTCAGTTCCTCCGAATATGACACAAAGTTATACAATCTGTGAAATTATCGATACGAATGATCTGCTAATATAAATACTTTTGATAACAATTACGTGAAAATACCTGTGAAAATGAGGCCAAGATTGGCAAACAACAAAAATTTTTCAGCTTATACGTGGATTTCTTCTAGCATAACAAAAGTTAAACATCTTCTTTTAAAATAAAACGATGTCTCAATTGTAAGCATACACTTTTATTGCTGCATTCCTTCACTTATTTTATGCTTGGCGTGAATTTGGTGAAACATCCCTTTGTGAAGTCTTCTGCCTTATTAAATTAAAACATAACATATAGGGTCGCTATTTATCACGTCGGCGAATACCAGAGGCAATTCTGAGAATTCATGCAACTGGAAACATAAGGTAAATGTCGCTCAATGGCATGCGGGAAGATAACACTATTAAAGGCAAACTGCTTAGCATATTTAGAATGTTAAACTTCTATCAACAAAGTTCAATGAACTTCCGATGTCAAGAACGCAATTTTTCGCGATAAATTATGATATAGAAAATATTTGCAATACGTCACAAATCAGGCCAATATATATTGATCTATATTGATAAAGAAAATTTCTGTGTGATTTCGGTATTACTCATATCACTTAATGAGAGGGTAAATCATCAGATTGTTGGCTAATTAGAGTTTCTTAGAAAGTGTGTGAAATTAGTGATTAGTTTGTCATCTCTTAGCTTATCAATACAGTATTAGCAATACCTAATTAGAAACAGATCATTAGCAATGAATAAACCTTTCTGTAGAAAACATCACAGCTCATGGCTCGAAATAAATATGTATTATAAAAAAATGTCTACTTAAATATCTTTTGATGAATTACTCAACTATAATTGCTGTCCACTTTATTTAAAAACATTCCACTTCGTCGTGAAACGAAGGCCCGGCGAGAGCTCCAAATATGAAATAATTTGATCATAAATCAGCACAAATGGCTTTGGGGATCCTTAAAATATTTTCGTGGGAAACAGGTGGCTCGAGTCTCATGTATTCAACAACTTGGGCATATGCCCATCTAATTTATTGAAAATCTCATGATCTTTATCACAAAGTTCCGATCTAATGCCTTTTTGTTTTCTCGTGTTTTGATACTTAGACATGGGCGATATCGAGACAGGGCTTTCTTCTGCTGCGCTGCCCTATTTCACTCGCATTATACGAGACACCATCTATAAAGGATAATACCTATAATTAAGTGGAAGAAAAGAAGATCTCAATCAAAAGAGATAAGACTAGAGCTCGATGCCTCTTAGAAATTCCAGGCGCAAACATACCGTTCCAAATTTGGTAGATTGGATTATTAATTGGTAAATTGTTGGTAATTCATGTGAAATTAATCCTCCCAGGCCGGAGTGAGCGCGCTCGAAATCAATCACACATTAAAACTGCCCGCAGAAATACATATTTTCATAGTTTGTCGTTTATATGACAGCCATATGTGAATGTGGTTTGAAGATTTAAAATTGATAAGGCAAATATTAACAACTGAAATATGATTATAAATTGCCAAATTCTTCTTTCTCTCTATTGCTTTATCTACAATCATGTTGAGTCATAAATTTCAATAAAATGCTGGTGGTCTCTGTGTATCAAAAAAGTGTGTGAAAGAGTTTTCATACGAAAGTGTGGGCGAAAAATATGAAAATACACATCTGCAGTCCTTATCGATTCATCTCACTTTTTAGCCACAGCCAGCAACAGTTTATAACAAGAAATTGAATTTTATTTTTGGCGTCCGTTGTAATTGAATAAATTAGAAACTTGTTAAGGAACCGAAGATATGATTTATTTGATCAAAGCCATCGTGAATGCGATTTCGCTGTCCTCTAAAATAAAAAGATGACTTCTGATTTTATCCGTATAGGTAAGAAATTATACAAATTGCCTTTTCACACGTATTCTTAGCACTTTAATAAGATCATTATTTAAAATTGTCTGAAAAATTGGCATGTTGCGCGGCGTTAAAGGTGTACCGAAATATCTTCATTACACTTTTGAAAGTGTTGAGGGTATTCTCATCTATAAAATGTCGATTTTTTCTTACCGCCCAACCAGAAAATAGCGGCGTATTCGCTGCATGGAAATCCATTCTTGCCGCACTTCAGCGTTGACCGTTTAACTCAGATTCACCATCGAGAAATCACAGCTAGTGTGATGAAGCCATAAAATCAAGATTTTAAAGTAGATTTTCAGCTTGAACCACGAAATCGAAAATCAACTGAAAATGCTATGAATTGATCTAATAAAATATTTTTAAATCTTTGTTTTGCATTTACAGACAATAGAAAAGAGGATCTTATATCACAAAATCAAAACCATCATCTCTCAGAGGTTATGTTAGAAATTATGTAGAGCGCATTAAGTTTAAACACAACTCACCATGCAATTTTGGGAGGCACTCGCGGTGTGCTTTTTTAACACAGACCGGAGCGCGTGTTATTTTATCTCTGCAACTTCCACCATCAGCGAGCCGGCCATTAAATAATAACTATATCGCAATTTTTCGGCTATAGTGTAATTGTATGTAATTTGGTCGCAACCGAGGAAAAAATTGCACGGAGCAGCCATTCTCACCTTTAATGATGGTTTCCTCGTGAGTTTACTGTTGTGCGAAGACTAGGAGTAATATTTTGCATTATGCGAGCCGCTCGCGTAAATTATCATTATTAGGATATTCATCTAAGGAAATTCCGATGTGAAGCGAAATCAGTCAAAACGCTCACCTAAATACTTTAAAAGTAATTGTGATTGCGACGGGAGATAATGTTGCAATTAGATATTAAATACATGTTTTACGATTTGTTGGTGATAATCAATGCCGTGACCAGTTAATATTGCCTATATCTTATTTGTTGTGTGTCTGAACAGAGTTGAACCATCATAACTCCTAGCTTTATATATTTATTATTTTATAAAATATTATAAATTGGTCAGAAGCGATCGACTTCTATCTTGGCTCAAATGTAATTTACCTTCTACATGCACTCGACGAGGACTCGATACACTTTAATATCTACAATTATGGAACTCGCACTGGCGTTGTCCGTTTATTTCTAATTATCGTATAGCGTTAAAAACTCAACAGACTGGGCGGTGTCAATTCCTATTTGCAAACATTATTTATCTACGGCCAATAAGTAATATTTAATAATGTAATGCTTACTGTTTTCCTTTTCGTCTTACACCATCACGCTATATGTCTTTTTCCTATTTCCACCACTTCTACCCCTCCTTTTCACTCGCCAGGCGATACCTAATACGCAGAGATGCCAGTAAAATTAAGAACGGCGATTAACATCTAAGGAATGCACTTGCACTCATGATGCTCACCCGCCACACGAGCAGCCGGATAAACTTTCATTTATCACGAGAAATTCCGTCTTTTTCAACGCTCCTATTGCAATGGGCATACACAAATTGTATGTGAGACATTGTTATACATAAATAATAACAATAATGATGTGTAGGACTTGAAGTTTGGTACCCTTATTAATTTAAAACCCACCATGTGAGCTCCTTGTAGAGCGTCATACACGCGTGCTTAACAATATTCTTAATTAACGTGCACATATTACACTTATCATTTATGCATTCCAACATCCATAAAATAAAATATAACCACTTACATCTCCCTTTCTCACCCACCAATTCATCTCTTTCGCTCCTTTCTGACTGTGCTATATGACCTCCAATTATTTATCCACTCAAAATACAATATAATTACCCTGCCTCATACACGCACATTCGGTGTCTTGCATTTGTAGGTTATGTGGCTTAACCCTTGCATTCTATTAGGAATAAAGTAGACAAATATTCGTGTATAAGTTCCCGTTTCTGAGAGAAGTCAAGAAAATATTTGTGTGGCAAGTTCAGAGAACACAAGAGCATCGAATTCATTTTCGCTCTAACTCGATAGTAGTGATTCGATGGGTTAAGCGAAATGCACAGTATGTGCAGAAATATTAATATTTTGCCAGTTATACCTTCACACCAGTCGCAGACACATCAAAAGGCAGGTTGAAAGGAGAAACAAGAAGAAAATAGCTTCATAAGGTTAAAATTGAAATCTTTACCACTTCACCTTATAAATATGTATAAATTATCCAATAAGGTGTCTCTTGATTTTAATTATCTTTCATTGTTGTCCACTTGGCACTTGATGTTGGCGAACAGTGATTATAAATTGTCTCTGCAAGAGTGCAAATAGAGTCAAAAGATGTGCCTTTGCCAGAGTATAATTTACCTATGATAAATTAACCAAAAATACAGAGTAATGCATTATATTGTGCATTTTGTATGCTAAAGGTTTCGACACCGTGTGAAGAATGCAGCTGGTTAATGGACCATAGTGAGGCTAATAAGTTTGTAGGCAATTTTATTATTAATACGCTTAACAAATTGACAATTTATGACTGGGATTTTCTTGCATATACTCCAATATGCATTTTGCTGTGTGGCGACGACACAAGCCATCACAGCGAATGAAGCGTTCAAAATGTATAAATGTGTTGCAGAAGAGAAGAGCACAAGAGAATTGCATTGCTCAAACGGCACACACGGTTAATCAGTGAATTTGCTGGCCGTCCGAACAGCGATGCTGCTCAGCATATTAATGAATGGATGATGAGACTGTGAATGCTATGGCAAATTCAACAAACAACCTTCTGTGGCCATTGGGTTCGCCGGAGAGTGGCACCATTTTCGCACACTTGCAAATTGTGAGAATTTTTCAGGAGCAACTCAGGGGCGCGAGGGGCAGTTGAGAAGCATGAAAACGGCCGCAGCCAGCAACAAATTAGGTTTTGTTTTATGATTAATTTTATGGGTTGTGAATATCGCATTTGTTAAATTGGATGGGGTCAGCGCAACATGACGCAATGGTCAAATTTGCCGCCCGTTTTCAGGTCTCATCTCCTTTCACATTAATTGGAGGCGATTGACATGACTCTTCACGCTTTTTATTGCACTCCCCTAAATGCCGTTGAGGCTCAGATGGTACTGCAAGCGAAATCGGAGGAGAAAACACTGCACAAGAGCGATTCTTGGTGTCTCACTCAATAAATTTTCGCGCCACAAGTCGTCTGTCTTGCCGCCAATTTGTCACCGCCATGTCCGGTCAGCGGCAACATAATCTGACATGGTGTAATTTGTAATCTCTAGCGACACTTCATCAGCTCTAACTCAGTCCGACAGTGTTCCTCGTCATTGTTTGGCCACACACTTAAATATTTACGGACTTAATTAATTGCAAATATTTTTGCTTGTCTCCTATTCTATGAGATAAAATACTTTTTGCTCACCTTGGCGAGGACTCCTCTCATTAATTCTTACCAATTTAGCCCGTGCCATTTTTTCCCATCGCGCGCGCACCTTCTCAATTCTTGTCCATCTCCACGCGCTCTTCCAACCATCCCACTTCACTGGGATTGAACAAATACATTCATCGCCATGCTATTTGATGGCACTCAATGTGTTGAATTTCTCAGGTAAATTCACTAAATATCTCATACATATTTTTCCTAGACTTTGCCTTAAAGAGTGATGCTGGAAAAAACTTGTAATTGCGTAAGAATAATTCACTTCAAACATGACACCAAACAGCAAATTTTACCTAAGCGCCATCCTATTTATAAATATCAGTTTGTTCTTTGGCGTCACTACGCACAACAGGCCAAGTTTGGCGAATTTATTGAGGCGAAAGCGTGCTGAGACTTGTATGTGAACATGTCCAGAAAACTGTTTTGAGCAGTAATCTCAAAAATTTTAATTTAACCTTAATCAAAGAGCATTCCCCTGGCATGCCCCATGATAAAAGCAAAGTCTCGAACGACTAAGAATGCACAACTTTTCATTATTGGACAACGGGTGTTGGGCGCCAAATCATTTTACCTGTTCAATTGTCGAGGTTCAAGTCACGATTCAATATGAGTGACTGCTGCTCATAAGCACTCTTCATCGCATCATAAGAAAGCAAAAGGGCGATAAATGCACTTTGACAAGCGTTTATCATAAATGTGTGAAACTGCATGGGGTGAAAATGGTTAAGAAAAAAAGTGGCAGAAGAGCAAACAAGAAAAAATATACATCAAATTGACTAACACTTAAGGTACGTGTAATTAAATATTTTGATGCGATGGGGAAGCCAATTCATCCTCCCCATTGCATCTCGGTCAGGTGATATGACATATGCTAACAAAATTGCGAAAGATGCTTTAGCCAGTGGAGGCCTGCATTTAGCAGATTATTTTTAGATGATGAAAATATTTCAGGCATGACTGAAAAGTTAAAAGAGTAAACGACAAAAGTAAGAAATAAAGTAAAATAAAATCTTAATGGATGGAGAAGAAAATGACCAAGAAAAAGAAACCGCCAGCATTATATCTCCACAACGGAACCCAACAGCATGATTATAAACATATCACTCGGTAAATTCCGTGCTTGGCATCCAAAATAAGTAATAAAAGCACATCAGAAAAAAGCGCGGTAAAACATCAAGAGTAGACAATTTCTTTAAATTATATTTCATTTGTGAAATTCGCGCCAAATTATTTTTACAACTACCGTACGGAGATGTGAGGAATCATTTTGTAAACAATATGATCATCTCCATCCATTTCGTCGTGCTCCTTTGTCGTGAAGCGAACAATACGGCAGGGAGGACTCGTAAAAGAGCTTATAAAGAGATTGGATACAATTTCCAGCATTGCTACATAACGCCCCGAGGACAAACCACTTCAAACATACATAATATCATTAAGTGGAATTGACACGCCAAAAAAGTGAGTTGCTCAAGGAATTATTCAAAATGCAATAATCTGCATGCCTTCATTCTGTCTTATTGTGTACGCCTCGCCAACACTTCCAAAAATATATCTTGTTAGTCAGTTCAACACCAATAAAGGGTCTTGGATAACAATGCAGATCAAGGAGATCGCGAATGTCTTGATGATCCGCAAAAATTAATTAAAAAAAAAAAAATTAAAATCCGAAAATGAGAAGCTACAGAAATCGTTTAAATAGAGACTCATATTCTAATTTTAAATATTAATTCTACTGAGTTGTTCCGAAGTATGAGGCTAATTTTTCCGACAAATTTGTCAATTAATAGCAAACAAAGATTATTTACTAAGAATGTGGCCTAATTTTCCAAGTAGCATTCATACATCTTAACGACACTACAATTAACATTTCTCCGCTTCAATGAACGTACGGCGAGATAAATCATCAAATTGGTGTTCAAATAAATGCATCCACCAGAGGGAATTCAGAGAAATTTCGCTTAAACTGAATACTTATGCTAATAGCGACACAACAAACCGTGTGAATTAGCCCCAAGTCAGAAGTCAAAAGCTCAATTGAGGCTTCTAAGTACCCCAGAAAGTTGCTCTGCTCATTGATTTCTGTTCTCTTCTCGCACATTCTTCCCATAAATATACCGGAGGCGAGGGTTTATGCAATGCCACGCGCAAAAAAACTGCAGATCACTTTCTAAAGCATATGTACTAAAATAACGATAATTAATTGCTTAATGAGAACTGGATCTATGAGAGATAATTACCAGATAAAGTCGATGTTTTCCCTCCTTTTTCACTTTATGTAGTGTTAATTACATTATACTTACATTTTCTCAGAATTACGAAGACAAGACTTCATTTCAATTTCAATTAAGCATTGATAATTGAATGTGAACATATTTCGCAGTTTATCGTCAAAGAAGCTAATCATTCGTAAAATTTGCTTAGCGACAATTTCATGGAATTTTCCCTCTTTTGCATTATAATTGTTATTCCTAGGAATTGTCTTGTTTTCCAATTGATTTTGCTGAAGTTTCCTAAATTTTCAGTTGTAGCTACTTTTCCTCGTGGGTTAATTAAAATTAAATGGAAATTTAGTGAAATAAGACACAAATTGCACGCTATTCGGTATTTCAATTAAATGTGACCTCTCTTTGTAATTAATACCTCTTGCGGTAATACAAATTCATCAAAAATACATAGTTATTTTCTCCATTTTTTTTTCCTAGAATCACTCGCCAAATCCGCAAGCATGCATCACTTCAAAAAGCGATTACTTTTTTTCTGTATGACGTGCCACGCTTTGTCCAAGACCATGTCGTCTGTGGTTTGAGGTTTTCCCTTAATATCATCATTGTTTCTTGTAAATCTTTCCTTGCCAGAAATTCCTACCTCGCCCACAACCTTTCTGACAATCATGTGCGATTTTGCAAAAGCCGTAGAGACAAAAGATCACAAAACTAATCTCCAACACGAGAGAGTCATACGGCTGACTATTTTTATTTCCACGCGAATTTCCGAGAAGTGTATTCAAATTTTAATTAAGACTGGGATTTTTTTAGTGTCTAATTTAAATAATTGGTCAATTTGTTATCATACTTATGAGACGTTATTACATAAATTGTGCCTCATGAGGCACACGGGACCGTCTTCTAAATCAATTATTCATCGATGAATAAGCAGATTATGCACTCATCAATAAATTTATTAGTTTCAATTTGCATAATATCTAGATCAGGACCTCACAAGCGAGACAAAGATGTGGAAGCTGAGGTCTCTCCTCCTTTCTTTCTTCGAGTGAGCTCACTGTTTATTATTGTATCCACTCTCGTGGCTTCCACTCTCCATTTTTTGCCACCAGCAGTATAATAATTAAATTCGTCTTGAATCAAATTGATGCGTCGATGGATGTGGTAAATGTGATGTTCTGTTTGATCTTATTCAATTTTTGGGGCCTGAATGAATGGCAACGAAGGAACCAGAAAAAGGGGCGAAAAAGAGCAACGAAATGCTCGACGGCCGTAATAAAGAACATGATGGATGATTACAGGATAAATGAAATAATATGATGTTTCCATCTCGCATTTCACTCCCACAAAACGCTTGTGAATTTTAACATTCACTAAAGATGGGGTGACGACTGAGCAAATTGGGATAACGTACAATGTACACTCAAGTAGACTGATCAGTCAGAATATTTCTGGCTTCCCTGAAATCGATTTCATAACCAAAAGTTTAGAAAGGAAGCATTAAAGCTCATGACCGCCTTTCCATTCACTCTTAAATATGCCCTAAAGTACACTTAAATATATACCAATGTATATGTATATTCAATCAAAGTCTTTTCGTACGATGATGGATTACATTTCAATATGACTGCCATAGTTCCCAAAATAGGGAATCTCGTCGACGAAGGTACAGATTGAGAATGTTTTTATGCCCTCGGCATGGAAAAGGCAGGGCTAATCCTGCATTTTAAATTTGCGGTTTCTACAGAATGACGATGACTCGAGTATTATGGCGATATTGGTAGTAAGGAGGGAAAATAGCGTGAGGTTACCATCGTTTTTCCCCCCTCATTCCAGCGCCATTCAGACAAGCAGACAGATAACTTTGAGACTGAAAGCAGAAATCACAGTCCTGCTCTGCTCCTTGGATGAGATGAAGAGAGGCACATAAAAATTCCACGCATCCATTGATGTGACAATACAAGAACACTTCCTAAATGTTATTGATCCTTGGCGAGATATAAGAAAAATATTTACAACACAAAATCTGATGCCAATAGCTTGGGAGACAAACTTTCTTGGAATGTCCTAGCATAATTGTAGCCATAAATTTTCCTCCCTATTATCTCGAGAGTCAGTGGACATTTATGTACATCCACAGCAAGGATCAAATATTTTCAGACAATTCTCTCAGTTTTTTTGGTATAGCTCTTCTACAGAAAAAAAATTATTAAGTTCAACACAATGAAGTCTATATTAAATGCTACCTGAAGAATTCCTCACCCCAAATAATGACTTTGACGACAAAATATCGGTATACTTTATCACCACAAGAAATCTATTTACAGTGAATTCTTTCTTCCTTCATAGCGCCATTTTCGGGTCTCTTAGGACCCTCGAGAAATGCATTGAAACTTCAATTTCTTCTTTATCAATCAATGTTCACATTTCCAGCGACCTCATTTTACGGTCATCGGAGGAAATGCGCTTCTTGTGAAGTCACAACGATATCCAATATTAATTGATTGCAACTACAGAGTCAACAAAACTCAGGCTGTCAGCATGGGAGATAAAATTCTCGAAATATAACGAAGCATATATCATCATATCGATTCACGAAACTTCCATTGCGTGCAATCTGAGTTTGTAATAAAATAAATGAGTGATGTGAAATAATTAACTCAACACCGAGTCATTCAATTGAAAATTAATACTCGAGAGCGTGATTGATTTTCCCTGGCGCCACTTGGTAAAGCCTTAAACATCGTGATTTTGCGTCATCAATTAAAATATGGTATTTTTTTTATTGTTTACCCAATGATATTTCTTGAGTATTGGAAGAAAGATATAAAATCTTACCACTTACTTGAGAATCGTGATAAATTGAGTAATTTACCGCTGAGATAAATTTGGCCAAAGTGGATGCAAAAAAGCGAGACGAGCCGAATGACTGACAGGTCAATAAAGAAGGAAGCCAGAGTCCTTAAAATCCGCAAGAAATGCAATTTTTCACTGCAGACGTGTTTTTTCTGCGAGCCCCACCGCCGAGATGACTTCTTTACAAACACCGTGATGGCATTTCACATCTTCCCAGAGAAGAGTTATACTTTGCTAATAACAATATTATAGAATAAATGTTTATACTAAAAACATTAAAAGGCGTCAAAGAAAACACTAATAATGACCATTTCTCACTGGAAGACGAGGGAAAGATAAATAAATTGAGTCTGCTGAATTGGATACACACGCATACACTTAATTTTTTATTATTTTTCGCTTTTTAAATAAATTGTTTGAGACCACCATTAAGGCACTTCAACGTGGTGGGCAATTGCCTTCATCATGTAATACCGTTTATTAGTCCCTTTAAATATATGTTACGAATGAAAATATAACCCAGACTTCGAGTAAACAATATTAACTTTTTATCCACTTCACCCCTCGAGAGCAACACGTCAGTGCACCATTACTTTTTATATCTGCGCATTTACCCATTTTTTTTGCACATCTCTTGATTATACACTCCGCATTGCCTCCGAAATCACTTCATATCGACCATTCATTGCTAAAATTTCAATTTCAGAGTATCAAAGATTTTAAATAATTACCTCATTTGCACTATAAGCATTATCTAGTAGTCACTATCTTCTATTCCTCGAATAGTCAGGATGATCATTGCGCAGCAAATAATCATTGTACCTTGAACTACTGCTATAAGACGGCCTCTCAGTTGAATACCGTGAGCTTTGATCTCTGAAACCATAGACATTAGGATTTCTCCAAGACATGTTTGGTTGATTCCATGAAGTGCTCCTGATGACACTGATTCTATCGTAATCTCTGCGCGTGATGTACTCACGTTCACGATAGGATCTAGACACAGCACCGCTTGATGGAGTTCTCCAGTCGGAATATCTCGTCGAGAGCGAAGAATCGCGATTCCTCCATGAATTCCTTGCATAGTCAATTTCCTGTGCATCCTGAGAATTCAAAGAACGCAATCGCGCCGTATAATTTTTCCTTTCAATTGAATGACCACGAGCCTCTTCAACTCCTGTTGAAACGACAGGGAAAATAATAATTACAATCACACAAAAATCATTAGTTTGCCTCATACTAACTCTTTATGGCATCTTCTGCTTGCAAGTTCAGGCAATCCATTAGGTATCTGCATATCATATACCCCGTCCGATTAACTCCGTGCGTACAATGAACGCCCACCAACAGAGCTAAAATTTTCAATCACGGCTTTTGTTAGTCTTGCACTAAAAACCATGTCCATTCTTATTGTTTACAATATCTGGCGACTGTCCCACTTTTTCGCTCAAAATCTCTTTGCTTCTTTCAGATAAGAGGTAAATACGCTCCGTCAAAATTGTAACACACGAGCAGCAACATACAATTCAGAGTAAATTCCTTTTATCATATGATTCAAGAACAGGGTGGAACACACTGCACATCGTCAAAATCACAAGTTGAGACACCAGAAAAGGGAAAATAAGCTTTCAAAATGCCACCCTCAGTGATGATGCACCCTATAAAACAATTTCGCCAAAATTTACAGCACAAGCTGAAGAAAAAGGTGCTTCTTTTGATTTACGCATTTGCAATTTGGCATATGTATCTGTATCCACGAGTCATGCATTGTGTTACCGTACTGTGTGATGGAAAAAGAAAATCAGAAAAAATGTTGCTGGGCGTTTAACATTCAAGTTTGACCATGGGAATTCACATAATTACTGCCAGGAAAGGAGCAATACGAGCAGTTGCATAAAAATTTAAATTAAAAATTCCACCCGACAAATGTGTTCATATTCTTCGCCACACTCAACCCCAATTCGTCAATTTATATTGAGAAATGTGTATTGTGCGTATTGGTACGTATTCAATTACTCACATGCATTTTTATCGTCCGCCACAAAATCTGATATAATTTTCTTGAACCTACAATTTTGGGGAGAGTAAATTTATCAATTATTGCTACATTAATTAATGTCAAATGTTATTTATTACTTGCTCACGTTGCGCTCTTCTGGAACAACATGTCCCTGAGTTATCAGCTTAACATGTTCAACATCTGCAGTGAGGTCCTAAAAAGCGCACAATTTTTCAGAAAATACTAGCAAAGTCTACAATTGTCTCACCTTTTTTGGATCGTAGTATCTATAACTGGCAGTCAGATCAATGATTAAACCAAGATTTGGGATCAATTCCACAAGATTATCGGGAGTAAATCTGTATAAAATAAGCAAAATCATGACTTTTTTTTGCATTGCAAGCAAATAGATATTCAAATAATTACATGGTTGATTCTGTTAATTTGGCGTTATAGGTCTATATAGGAGAAAAGAGAGAAAAGAACAACATATGAGATAAAAGCAAATTAGTAATAATGGCAAATTGGATGAAAAATAAGAGAGAACATCTTTGGCAATACGAGAGACTTTGTTGGTGGTCTACTTTTGAGCATACAACTCTCTTTATTAATCATTTTTAATTGCTATATTGCAACCTGTCTTGACGAATACACTAAAAGCGTTGCACATCATCAGAAAGCGAAACGAAGAACGCTTAAGAATCGCTCCTCATCCCAGATTTACCGGGAAACTCATCACATTTGAGAGAGATAGATGGATGGGTGCCTGAGTAATGGATTCGTTAAAATGTATAATTTTCTTATCTATATTATACAAAATATGGATGTATGTCTATGATGTTTGTACTGTAATATAATTTACGTACAATTAGAGGCACTCTTTTAGCAATACATCATAATAACTCTCGCTACCACCATATTTCTTCGCAGTTTATTCTTTATACAAGCATGGAAAATACTGTGACGAAAATTCGTCTCCTTCTCCATTTTCATTTCAAATTTTATTCAATTTTAGCACTTTGTGTCTATGTACTTTTCTCACCAAGAATTCAATTCAGTGTGATTTAGCAGCACATTGAGAGGAAATTAATTTCATCATCGCCCAGCCTAGAGCCCCATCAGCCAGTCAGTGTTAATATTAAATAAATGCGAGAATGAACAAATTGAAACGGGCGATGGTGTTGATAAATTAATCCTTAAGGCGGAATAGAGTCATATGTGGCTAAATCAAGAGTTCACTTCTTAACACAAATACCCCATTATTCAGTGAAGAATTGCAGAAAAGAATCAGTGCCAACAGGATAAATGATCATATGTGAGAAATTACTGTAACAATTGGATGTGATAGCGCGCAAAAGAATGCAATGAATCATAAGCTTAAGACAAAGAATAACCACATTTTATTTGCAAAAGGACACAAGACTGAAAATAACAGCCACGAGTGCAAACATCGCACTTGGCATATTTAGCATTTATTCACTATTATTTTTATGAAATTCTTTTAAAAGTTAATTTTAGAATAGTTTCGAATTTACACGTGAAAAAGAACATCTAATACAGAATCTGTGAGAATCAATATTAGAAAAATTAAAATAATAAATATACCATTTGGTGAAAATCAATGAAAATTTATGCACAGCAGTCATCACAGAGGCAATTTAGCCAGAACAAATAGCCACCAGGTTCCAAGACTTTACATTCATAACTCACTATGTTGTGGCTTCTTCTCTAGCCATATGCGATAATTTCGATCATGCACTCACCAAAGAGCAAAAGCCACAAAGAGGACACTTTGTGAATGACACTCTTTCTCTTCTCCAATGCACACATTTCTCCTGGATGTGAGGAGAAATCTTTCACTCTTTCTCCTTGAGCGACACATTAAATGACTCTCTGCCACAGACATGCCCGTACATTATATCAATAAAACCCATAGTGTCCTGAGGCAGCTTGCAAATGTGCTTCCTCTCGGGGAGAATATAAATGATATATACAATAAAAGAAGATTGCTTCCCTCCTTTTGGAGGCTCAATTCACTCAACAGGAATCTACAGCCCGCAACGTTCACGTTTCCTTTTCTTTCCCGCACCAACAATCTTGAATCATTTCACCTTTCACGTGCCCTTTATTCCCACTCGCATCTCTTTCTCCTTTCACTCCATATTCGACACATACACATTGTATCGGTGCATTATGGACGCAAAGGATCTTAAATTTGTCGCATCAAAGGACCACAATGGTGTGACTCTCACTCACATAAATGCCCATTATCATTGTTATTATTGATCGAATGGATAATAATAAATGTGGCCCACAAAGATGTTGCCTGCAGGGATGATTTCCCGTCGCGCATAAAGTCATATTTCACTCCTTCTCATATCTTTTCTTCATTTATTGATGGAAAAAATGAGAGAAATTCTCTGTGTCTGCCGAGTTGATGGCAAATATTTCCATCATATCGTTTATCCTGATGAATAATATCGATGACTATCTGTCTACCCTATCCAACTGTGGCGGTAACGTTTTCCCAATCATCCAATTTGTCGAATTTATCAAGAAAAGGAAGTCTAACAATACAAATAGAGCCTTTGATGATGCGCAAATACACGGATCTCAAAATCTACATCATCTATTTCAATCTTGATCAGCAATACAATCAATATTAAAAATATATTGCGAAAGGCATAGAAAAGGACTCTCACTATCTCTCAGACATCTTATGCGCGATAAGTCAATCGAGATTTATTTCTGTCTAGCCCTTAATCCTGACCCACAGAAATACACAATGATTAATGTGATTCATTGTTATGGACGTCATTCAGAAAATTTATACTTAATCATGGGAGTATCAATACAGCATAAATCATTAAATAATAAGAGTTGTACGTTAGAAGTCAATATATTCATTACATGGCAAATCCGAGAGTAAAATTGATCAAATACACTATGACAATTCAATTTATCACTTTAATTTTCAATTACCAGGGAAATTATTACCACAAAGAACAGAAAATCAAACGTCTTAGCTTTGAATTAAAATACTAAGGCGCCATACAAACAATGTTGTAAACAATAAGAAAAAATATCTAGTGTATCTCTCAAAACTAACCCTCAAATTAATTTACTTTGCCCACAAAATATCAATAAAACTATCCTTCAAATGCATGGAAAAGAAGGCATCCGCATGAGAAGGCGCGCATTCCGTTGCCATTTATACATTTTTGTGTGTAGACATAAAAGAAATCGCGGGTACAAGGAGGAAACCACATCCATAATTCTTAGCATCGGCACTTGTGAGCAAAAGTGTAAAAATGTTCCTTCTTCATCTGAAATCTTGATAGAAATGATACGCGGTTAACGCCTTTTCTGCACACAGTCTGCTCGGGCTCGTGATGATTCTCGCACATGTTCTTCAGCTCGGTTTTTTATCAGTCAAAAATATCTAAATTTTAATTGCATATTTGCCGTGTTATTTGTATTTGAAGCTCAATGGGAAAAACAAATAACAATATCTGTAGAGTGATTATTATGAAAGACGAAGTGATACGCATTTCACACACGCTCCATCAAAGCTTTGTCTCACGCCAAAGGAACCGGCAAAAGGCCTCCCAATTTATGTTGCTGCTCTTCATTTCGCTGAATTCCTTCCCCATATATTCTCTCACATGGCCATTCATTTATTTCCACTTCATTGTGAATTTTCTTTATGGTGCCAAATTGGATATTGGACAAAGTGTATCGGGGATGGGAGTGATTTATTTATTTATATAGGCATTCTATTTTAATTATAGTTTTTACGCCCCCAAAACACACCATGCTGATTTTTTCTGCTGACTTACTACGAACTGAACACCAGATAAAGCCTAATATCTGAAAAATGTACATGCGGGAACCACATTTCTTCTCCACAGACATTGATGGCAATAAAGCGCTGAGATGTGAAACTTTCAACATAAATTTATATGTATATATATTTGGTAAAGACATATTTTTAATTGTTATTTATGTTATTGTCTAAGAGAGAATTTTGAGACCTTCATGATGGAATTTCTCCACTTTATTTACCCACAAAATATACTTTCCCTTTTCTCCATTTCTCCCATTCTCTCTACATTCTATGACAAATTTCGGCATTTTCGTTAAATCAACTTTGAAGTAAGCCCGGATAATAAATCATTAAAAAACTAGATGAAATTTATGGTGTCTTTTTTCCCAACACTATTTGACTAAGTGAATATCTTTCTGGTGGCCAGCCAAGGGAAGAAATATGACGATCTGAGGCCACACTGTGGATTTCTCCCACAAAATTTCCTCTTTTCGCAATATTAGAAAAAATATATATATTTATTAGTCACGGAATAAAATTCCAGTTAAATTCCAGGTCATTTGCAATATTAGAAAAGAAAATATTGTTCATATTTCATAGACTCTGGACGTATGAGCTCAAAAAATATCTCCCAATTTACCGATATTTCTGTAAATATTTAAATAATTATATAATAAATTTCTGTTATACCCCGAAAGCACACTTTGGGAGCCCACACGAATATTTCAGGTGAAAAAGATATGTGCACTCCAGAAAAATGCATAATTCTCATTTTATAATTAATCATAAGCATCACTCAATGTGAGAAAGTTTAAAATATGTAAATATCTTGTACGAATTCCAATACAAAACATCTTTTACCTACTCTCTCAATAAATGCATGAATTTATCGAACATTCCCACGTAGAGTTGCTACATTTGTAGATGTAGAATCAATGGAGAGATTCTATTGAAAACATTTCACAGTCAAACTCTAAGTCACCTTCCAAATGCACTCAAAGAACTCTCAAGTACATCTTCATCTATACGAAAAGCTAAACGCCGTGCGGTCATCAGCTCTGTTGCTTCTAATTTTCACAATCATCACAATCGGGAAGAGAAAGAGAGTAAGATGGGGAGAAGAAAGAGCCACGAGTGGGATGAAAAGAATGTGATGAATTCAATAGTTTTTACCCATCGAAAGATTCTCTCCCAGTGAGATGTTGTTTGAGAGAGAAAGAACTGCAGCCATTGGAGACATTTAATGGGCAAAATAAATATTTGTAAGATATTTCCGTTAATAGCTAGCACCTAACTGTAATTTCTACGTTTTTCTAAATTTCGCTTCCACATACGTTCGGACTAAAAACACAACGCATTACTCTAAAATCCCAATGATGACAGCGATAATGGGCAACTCTTGCATTTCAATCAGCTGAGGAAGCCTTTCAGAAATCACCGACGATGCGGTCCATTGAGAGTCATAATTTCGACATTTTCTCCATCACACAGCGGCGAATAATAATAAAAATTAATATTCTTTAAATTAAAGAAAATAAACTATGTGTATCGAAATCGTGAAGATAAATGCTCAAATGTGCCTTAATTTATGCTTTTGTCAGTTAAAACCTAATACTCGCTATTGTTATTAAAGAAATTTATGATTATCATTTTGCATTTTTGTCTCTTCAAACTGCAATGATGCCTGAGTCAGCTCGCATGCATCCCTTTTGAAGACTGCCCATTAATGCTGAGGCACGTCTCAATAGAGTGTTTGTTATTTCTATGCGTACATAATGAAGATATAACAATTGAACTGTGAAATAAACACCATTTTACTCGACGACTTTTGCTGCAATTCCTCACCATCTCAATGCGATAACTCGCAAAATTCTTTTGAGATTTCGCAAGAGATGATAGAGTGCAAAATCTCTTCCTCAAATAATGCTGTACTTGTCAAATCAACACGAATATTTGACACATTTCTCTGCGCCAATGATTTATTTAATTTCGAGGACAGAAACATATTTCTATTCCGTCATTTTCTCTCTCTCTCTCTCTGTCTATTGCATTATGAATTCTAAGCAGCTACAGAAATCCTTATGATTTGGACGATTTGGGAATGTTGAAGCCATTCTGGCGGCTCAGACAAATAGACTAGACTTTATTGGATCATTATAATCTACTGATTAATTAAGATCCCACAAATTGATATGCGAGGAAGGACAGTGCGCACTAACAAGAGCAAGAACAACCATGAAAAACTCGTGCATTTCATTTACTAAAATTGTTCATCTCTCTCTCGGTTTGAGAAAAGAGACATTTATGCCATTTAGTTGATGTTGTCTCCTCAAGAACCATAATCGTATGAGATACAATTCTCGGAAAATGACGCAAAAGATAAAAAAAAAATCCTAATTTCGTCTTATGTTATTATTTCGGAAGAATACAAATTTTGTGCTTTTCTCAACAGAGCGCCTACCTCACCCACAACCATATAGAGCACTGTGTGGACAATTTATTCCTCCACTTACGACATCAATTTAGATAAGGCTCTAACAAAATTTATGTTTACAAGGTTCAGTGTCAGTAATTAATTCCTGTAACAATCACACGTTACTCTCTTAGATTATAAAATTCTCATATATATGGGAGAAGCGAAGGGAGTTCCCCCATTTCAGTTACGTCTCGCCATTGGTATTTACAAGGTATATTCTCTCTCACGTGTCAGACCTTCAATCCACAATGCAAACTCGAGTAATTTCTGTTTTAAGAACTCACCTGCATCAGAGGTGTTTTGAAAGCTATCAACTGTGTTCCTTCAATTGGGCGACCCACGTTGGAATAATCCAACCACCTGAAAAGACAAAAAAATAAATCTCCAACACTATACACAAGTTTCGCCTGCCATACTATATTTTCTTATGTAAAACAAAGTGCGGTCGCTGAACTCTGACAATGCATTTCAGTTGAATTGTACAAAATAAACATTGGCATTGAAAGGAAATCTCCAGAAAAGAGAGTTTCATGAAAAGGCAACAGAACAATCCCAATTCTAAATAATTGTTTTTTTTTCTACTGAAAATTAAATTCTTCAAATTGTTGAATTTAAATTCTGGATTCTTTGTGAAGTCTAGCGCCATCTACAAAGGCTTAAGCACCAATTGAGATCTCTTCTGTTCCCAAGACAATGGTGTGGATTGTTCTAGAGGTGTCCATACGAAAATTCCCAATATGAATAAATTTAAATTTCATTTTGTCACGAGTCTGGGTGTCTTGCGAAAAATGAACTATCAGTTCATATTGTTAATAGAATCATTGCTTAAATATAAAAAAAATTCCATATAGATAATTCCTTTACTTTCTTTTAATTTTCATTGATCAAAACAAAGATTCTCAGTAATACAGAATGTACAGAACAGACTTTCGCAAGATTTCATCATAAGTATTATTAACATTTATTATAGTAAGCAGATTATTGTGCGACTTGTCCTAGTATGTCTACCGAAATCTCTAGACTTTTATTGGGATGGGGAAAATATTTGTGTTTGATTCTTGACAATCTTGGGAACCACCAAATTGCTTCTATTTCCTCTATTAAGGTAACAAAAAGATAACTAAAGATAAGAAGCTGTTCTTGTAGGATATGACGATATTCTAAAAAACCTCCTTTATACACTAAATGCAGTGATTTCGATCATATTTACCTGTCTGGTATTTTGCTACCTTTTCCCATTTTTCCACGTAATATTCCTTTTCATGCACGGTTTACACACTATATAGGTACTTTAGTCCTTTCCGCTTATTGCTTATTCGTAAAAATGACGATACAATAGTAAATTTGGTGTATTTTCAACGAAAGTCTTCACTGATGGTTTGCACTTCATTTTCACAACAACCAAAAATCCCACATGGCAGATTTCTGACAGTTGCTCAGTTTGGTGACGTCATGGATGGCGAGCAGTCACAGTGCAATGGATCTCGTAAACAATTGCAATAATTTTATCCATATCATCGCCAATACCAATGAAAATGTGGCACAAAAAGCATACTCGATGGAAGAAATTAAGTCTTCCGCGATAGCCAGTGGAAACAATGTGATACAAAGTGCAGAAGCGGTGCTAAGCGAAGGCGAAGGTGTGAACCTGGAGGCTGAGGAAATGTCGAGGAAGCTGCAGAGGATTTGTCGATGCTGCTTGCTTGAGGATGATAAGCTACGGGATATCTTCGAAGAAGGGGAAAATATCGTGGAAATGCTGATGAATTTTGCTCATATTGATGTACGAGTTTCTCAGAAAGAGAGAGAGAGAGAACTCAGTGAGCGTTGATGTGGTTTTGACTATTTATTCTCTGTATTTCAGATCCGCCTTGACGATGTTCTCCCGACATTAATTTGCTTGAACTGCACCATGCAAATAGGTCGGATTTTTGAGTTCAAGGACCAGATTGAAATGGCTGAAGCCACTTTGAGGCACTTCGTGAGTGTAAATTCTCACCAGGCAGTAAAACTGACCCATTCTGAGGACAGTTTGACTGAAATTCCGTTCAGCGAGAAGACACAGGAAATCCTGCAGACCGTGGACGGTCAGTCGAGTGAGGAGTCGAACTGTGGAAGTGATTGTCCAATAAGTCCGGGAGAGACTGTTCTGCGGTGTCCCATACAAGAAATACAACTGCGCCAGGAAGTGGAGGTCATTAAGATTTCCAAAAGAATCAAGCAAGATCTGAAAGATGAGGAGAATCAGCCCAAGCCTTCACGGGATGTGACAGAGAACGAGGTCATATTTCAAGACTACCCAGTTGATAAGACTGAAATGACTGAGGAAGACATGGAAGAGGAAGTGATAGAAAGCAGAGAAGAGTGCACGTGTCCACTGTGCAATAAGGAGTACACGAGTGAGTTTGCAAACATGATTAACCGTTTCTTTATTTATTTATACAATATTGCCAATTTCAGATGAAAAGCAATTGCAAATGCACTTGAATGACCACCAAGTTTCATGTATCGAGAACCAAGTGAAAAGTGAAGAGAAGGATTCTTCGGAAGAGGAAAAGAGTGACGGTGAAAATGACGAGGAGGAACTTCAGTTCAAGTGCCCGGAAAATGGTTGCAGTGTTTCATTTAAGATGGAAAGTGATTTGTACATTCACAAGTCCATTCACGTGAAGGATGGCAAGAATCAGTGTTCATTCTGCAAGAAGGAATTCACCAGTAAGACAATTTCGCATAATGTATCCTTTGCTTTCTTATTGATTTACATATTTTACTTTGCAGCGATCGCCCAGCTGAAGAGACATATCAAGATCCATTTCACGGATAAACCGCACAAGTGCAAAATATGCAAGAAAGGATTCCCGGAAATGGGAAGCTTGACCAGACATATCCGCACTCACAGTGGCGAACAGAGAGTGAAGAAGCATTTGTGCACAGTCTGTGGGAAAGGGTGAGCATCAATGCAAATACTTTTCCTTGCATTTTCTAAACTATTTCTATCAATTTTTAGGTACTACGACTTTTACTCCCTCTCCGTCCACACGAGGACCCACACGGGAGAGCGCCCTTGCATTTGTAGCGTCTGCGGGAAGACCTTCATAGATTCGCGCCTTCTGAATTCCCACCTGAAGAGCCACAGCAGTGAGAAACCGTACAAGTGTGGCATTTGCCATCGAAGTTTTACCCACCAAAGTACACTAACGTCCCACCGAAGGACCCACACTGGCGAAAAGCCCTACGTTTGTTCTGTGTGCGGAAAGGCCTTCATTCAATCGTCCAACTTGTCGCTCCACATGCGAACTCACAGCGGCGCCAAGCCATACAAGTGCGAGACCTGCGGTCGCTCCTTCGCCAGTTCGTCCACTCTCATTACTCACAATAGGGTTCATACAGGAGAGAAGCCGTACAAGTGCGGAATATGCGGAAAGGCTTTTGCCAGGATTGATCTCTCAGCACACATCCGGACGCACACCGGCGAGAAGCCCTTCAAGTGCAATTCTTGCCTCAAGAAATTCACAACGAAAGGCCAATTGAACCAGCACATGAGAGTCCACAGAGGTATATAGTGTAAAGGAATTGCGCGCCAATTGAGTAGTATTCCTGAATGTCTGTTCTCTTGTTTTCCGCAGAGGAGAAACCGCTGATTTGCCAAGTCTGCCAGAAACGTTGCTATTCTGTGGGAAATCTGAAGAACCACATGAAATCTCATGACAACGAGAGCGTCACAACAACATTCTGTGATCCACTGACGACCGAAGTGATAAAGGAAACAGAGGATGTAATTCTCTACACAAAGGACGACATAAATCCTCTAATTGTGCAGCAGATTCATCTGGAGCGTGAAGAAAATCCAGAGAATAGCGATGGAGGAAATATTGAAGGATTCAATTTGCAAGATATTGCAGACAATCAACTGTCCAACAGTCAGCTCTCAGCCAGTTCTGACACGTCAAAGTACATTGTGAGTAATGTAATTCAGGTACCAATCTTCATCAGTGCTTCCGAGTGCAGTAACGTGGAAACTATAGATGAAATTATGTAGTTTTCAGCAAATCAGGGAAGGAAATCCCATCACGAAGTACACAATTAGTATTTAATAATTCACCAGTATAGTCTAATAAGATGAAATCTTTCAGTTTCTTTTCATGTAGATATTTCGTCTACGCAAAATTTAATGAATTTCAACGTAAAGTATTTTTCTACATTAAATAAATTGAAAATGGTAGTTAAATTTTTACATATTTATTTAAATAACACTCCAAACTACATACCGCGAGTCCTTTGGGCTGTCTTTAGCGATACAAGTGGTCAGCTTGAATGTTCACGGCGATCTCTGACTCCCACTTGTCTCCGTTGAGCAGCAGCTTCTCCTTGTTGTACAGCAACTCCTCGTGGGTCTCTGTGGAGAACTCGAAGTTGGGCCCCTCCACGATCGCATCCACCGGACAAGCCTCCTGGCAGAAGCCGCAGTAGATGCACTTCGTCATGTCAATGTCGTATCGCGTGGTTCGTCTGCTCCCATCAGCTCGCTCCTCCGCCTCGATGGTGATGGCCTGCGCAGGACAGATGGCCTCGCACAGTTTGCACGCAATGCAGCGCTCCTCGCCACTTGGGTAGCGCCTCAGGGCGTGCTCGCCACGAAATCTGGGACTCAGGGGGCCCTTCTCGAACGGATAATTAATTGTGGCCGGTTCCTTGAATATGTGCGCCAGCGTGACACCAAATCCGCGCGTCAGCTCTGTCCAGAACATTACGGCAGCTCCCCTTTCCGTGAGGTCTTCCCAGGACATGCTTACGGGCTTATCGTTTACGTACGTGTAGTTTCCGCCGCCCTTGCCATTTGCCGACGGAGCCGGCACAGATGATGAGGAGCAATAGCGCAATTGATTCGCTACTCCCAAGAAGCGCTGGCCTGAGAACATTTCCGAAAAAGTGAAATATTTTGATCTCTCTGTGATGACATAACAACACATAACCTGTAATATGTTTTTCTTGAGAATCACTGGATTACTTACCACTTCTTGCCAGATTGTACAGCTTCATCGCAGACATTGGGATTATCACTAGTGGTTTCAGCACAGCTTACAGAACCAAATCAAGAGATTTCACTGTAAATTGCAAAAATTGGCCAGCAACAAAAATCTCCACTTTGTTTTGACAATTTTTGACGGCGACCGCATTAGTGTCTAGAAAATCCGCAAGAGGGCGCCACAAACCAGTAAGGAGGTGGAAAAGTGTGATTGGATTTTGGGGAGTTCAGGAAATCACAAATATTGTAATGATTGCATTAAATGGGAGAAAAAGTTTAAGTATTCATCATAAAGGATATCGGATATAGTTAAATGTAAAAAAAGGAAATGTATATATGTCATATATCCATTAGTACGTTGAGTTTTATAAAAGAATTTTGTAAAAAAATGGACTTTGTCGATTGGCATCTTTTGGAATCCCGAGTAGAAGAAACGTGTTTGCATTCGTCATTCTCTTTTTGTTTACTATTTATGGAGCTCGATAAACATTGATAGGTCCGTGAGTTTTTCCCCAAATTCCGTCCTGTGTGGAGAGATAAGGAGATTCGATGATGTAGAAATCAAGCAAAAATAATCAGTATATCCAACGCAATGGCGTTTAGAGGTATCTCCTCCAGGTGAGTCAATAAAAACTTTCGCCCAAGCAAACCTTTCGCAATTAAACCCAACCCTCTTCGTAGGTCTGGCAGAAAATTTTTGGGCATTCTCGCATTGGCCATTGTCTTTTACAACGAATTGCTCGTGTACAAATTTCAATCTTTCACATGGAAATCCATCCCGTGCCAAAGCGGTAATTGTTTTTTGTATGCACTATTGAGGCTTCTCTTGCTCATGCTTTTCCTCTACTTTCAGGCAATTGCACGAGGATTCTGCTCGTGGCCGATCCGCAGCTCATTGGCGAGACCTTCGACACGTCCTTCTACAATCCTATTGCAATTTACGACTCCGACAGGTGAGAAAGACAGCCTGGGAAGGCAGGTGCAGAGCGGATTTCTAAGGAAATGTGTGATTGCAGGTACTTAAAAAAGACATTCAGGGAAGTCCTGGAGCACACCGAGCCCAACATCATCCTGTTCCTGGGTGACCTCTTCGATGAGGGCAGTGTGGCCACGAATGACGAATACTCAACCTACTTAAGGCGATTCCATCACATTTTTCACACAGACCGCAGTATTATGGTGAGCATTCACACACTTCCAGGCAATTGGGCGGGAAAGCGTTAGTAATTTAGATGTCAATTGACTTGACAATTGGCCGAAGTGAAGTGCGGGTGTGCGTTGAATAATTCCCTCAAAATTAACTGCCCGGGCTATGAAGCGTGAGGAGATTCTGCTGCTTTTCGACGTCGATGGAACTCTGACCCTCCCGCGATCTGTGATAGAGCCCTCCTTCGAGGCATTCCTCTACGACCGCCTGAAACCCAAGGCGACAATTGGAATTGTCGGCGGCGCCGATCTGGAGAAGATGTTCGAGCAGCTCAACGGCGAGAAGATCCTGAAGGAGTTCGACTACATTTTCCCCGAGAACGGACTCGTGCAGATAAAGCAGGGTGTGGAAGTGGGCAAGCAGTCACTTCTGAATCACCTGGGCGAGGCCACGATCCAGAGGTTCATCAACTTCGTGCTGCGCTACCTCGCCGACCTGCAAGTTCCCATCAAGCGTGGCACATTCCTCGAGTTTCGCAACGGCATGATGAATGTCTGCCCCGTTGGCCGACAGTGCAGCTGGAGTGAGAGACAGCTTTTTGCCGAGTACGACCGGAAGCACGGCGTCCGTGAGAAAATGATCCAAGACCTGCGCAGAGAGTTTGCGGACGTTGACTTAACGTACAGCATTGGTGGGCAAATAAGCTTCGACGTCTTTCCACGTGGATGGGACAAGACGTACTGCCTGGACTTTGTCTCCGCGGACGGAGATTTCAAGGAGATCCACTTCTTTGGAGACAAAACCGACCCAGGCGGCAATGATCATGAGATCTACTCGGATTCTCGCGTGATTGGACACAAAGTGCAGTCACCGGACGAAACGAGACTCCTCCTGGAAGCCCTGGAAGAGAGACTTCACCAGGACCAGTGATTCCTTTTCTGTGCTTTATCTACATTCCAAAGGGTTAAGTGGCAATTCTTGATTTGACGATTACCTCAATATGTAAAAATGAGTCTGAAATGCATTTTACTGCTGCACAAAGGTCTTTGGAAATGTACCAGATTTTTTTCAGCGCTGAGTCTATTGAATTTTTTTCTAGTGCTCCAGAAACTTGCCAGAAACCCAAAATTGTGCTATCATCAGTGAATGAAAACTATTATTGACTTTTCTGTTTGAAAAAAAAAAAGCTGAACACACAACTTTACCAAGAGATGCTCTTGAGTCTTGTAGATCAGAGAATAAATGTAAAGAAACAAGGGAAAGGGGTAAATGAAATTTATACTCTTGAATTGAAAAGTAGTCAAGGAATCCATGAGAATAGATAGCCTAAATATTGGTCTCTTTGCGATTGCAGAAAATCTACGTACCTGGAGACAATGATATTGGCGGTGAAAACGGCGAAATCGTGACCCCAACGAAGCTGAACCGCTTCCGGAGCACCTTTCACACGCAGCACACCTACTCTCGGCACAACCTGGTCTTCTTCGAGGCCAACCGGATTACGCGAGAGATCCCGCGGCCGGCCACGTCGCCGGCGCCCCCGTACAGTGCCCAGAAGAGATTCGTGGTGAGCCACATGTCGCTGCTGTTCTACAACGACGCCTTCCAGGAGCGTGTCCTGCGCTACGTGCAGCCCCACGTGATCTTCACGGGCCACCTGCACAGGTCACTCTTCATCCGGAAGTCCCTCAAGTTCAGCGAGTTCACGCGCGCGCACCCGCTCAACGCCAACGCGGAGCGCCGCATCGTGAACTCGTTCGATCTCCGGGAAGTACACGACACCTTCCTGGAGATCATGGTGCCAACGTGCAGTTACCGCATGGGCGAGCGAAACATTGGGTTCGGGTACGCCGTGGTGGATGGCGACGATCTCCTGTACACGGTGCTCTGGTCTGTGGACCGCTTTTCGCAGCTTTTCCTATACCTCATATACCTCCTCGTGTGTTTTATTCTCCTCACCATGAAGCTCATTTTTACATGCTCCATCTTTGCCACGAAGAAATTGCAGCGGCTCAGAATTACTTATACAAAAGTGTGACGTCCTTCACTTGTTCTTCCGATAGACTGCAGTGGTGATGCCATGTTTTTGAATAAAGCACGACCTAAAGTGGCAACAAGTTAAAACTATGGAATTCCCGGACAATTATCGCTCAAGATCTTACATGTCGCTGTAGTGCAGAATGACTGTGGGAGGGTTGCTGTTCGGCTCCAGCTTCGCTGCCTGCTCCGACAGAGCCACTAGAATCCCTGAAGACTCCGGAGATGCCACCTTTCCTCCAGCCTGGATGCACAATCCCTGACCATTCGCCAGCAGACAGCCCTCAGTGTTGGGAGTTTCCAAACTGCAAACCAATGACGCGTCATTGTCAGGGCATTTCTCTGAAATCTCAACTTCCTCGATATACTCACATCTCCTTGCAAAGCGTATCTAAGTTGGAATCCATTGAAAAGCCTATATTTCTATGATTTTCAGCAAAAATACCAAATGTTTACATTTTTCACAAAGACTCCACTCTTTCTCGTTTCCCAGTAGAGGCGCTGCCATTGCAAAGATGGCAAAGTTCCAATCCCCGTCACCCATAGCGAGTGGCTCTGTAGTTCATTGTCAAAGTTTGTTGCGATTTTGCTGGTCATCAAGAAAAATAATTTGTAATTTTGTGCATTTCCCGTGAAAATTCACTGATTTACTCAGAAATATATCTTCCAGAAATCATGGAGCCATCAGTGAAAGTGATGCCGGGTATGTCTGAGGCCTTCGACGTGACGAAGGGCCATTTGGCGCCGCTGGACAAGACTTGTTCCGGGCAGATCAGTTTTGTGCATCCACTGAAACTCTCCGAAGAGAACTTCGAGGCCCATCGCAACACGCTGAATATGAACATGCTGAGGAATCGCGAGGGACTCCATGCGCCCCTGAAGATGACTATGGAAGTGCAGGCGGTGAAGAAAACAGGACGACTGCCTTTCTTGCAGTCTAGCAACGCCTCTCTGGATTCCCTAACCGGGCGAGATCTGAACATCGACTTCTCTGACTTCCTCAGTGCACCAGAGTTCTGTGAACACATCCGTCAGCCTCACGCGGTCACCGAGAAATCTCTGGGTATTTTGTAATTTCTATATTACTACATAATAAATTCGAGAAACAATCATTTGAGCATGCCTCTCGTGAAGACTCCCGTGGGAACGTGCTGATTCTTTACATTCGGCAGGCCGTCAATCTGGGCTTTTTCTCTTGCAACACGAGCGATAGCCTCAAAGGTCCGAGGCTCCCAAGTGGCCAACTCAGACAGAACCTTCTTGTTCAGAAGAATATTGCTCCTCTGCAGGCATTCCATGAATGTGTACAAGCAAATTCCATGCTGCTCTGTTCCGGCAGATACTCTGGCTGACCACAGGTCAATCATGTCACGTTTCTTCAGATCGCGCCCCTTTGTGGCATACTGCAGCGCTCGGTGAACATTACGGATGGCTATGGAGTAGCAATTCCTCCTACGACCTCGGAAATGCTACAAGAAAAACAATCGTTTAGGTTATAATTCATGGCAGCTTTTACTTCAACTTACAGCCGCGAGTTTGAAGATCTTCCGCTTCCGCCAAAACTCATCTGGCCCTCGGCTGCGAACAAAGTTTACAATTGAAGTGAAAACCATGAGGAAAACAGATTTTCACGAGTTTCAGGCTTCTTTGCTAAGCGAATGGCCGGCAGTACTAAACTGAGCAAATCTGAGCGCTTTTTAGACCAGTAATTGTCATCTTCGAGAGTTTTTATCAGGCGGTTCAGAGTGCACGTTCTCGCGTGAAAAGCCGAAAGTTATTGTGATTTCCCGGCAAATTAGCGAATATTCTTGAACAAAATGGTGAGTTGTAGCTACAGAAATGCTTGTCAATTCCGATCTCAAGGCAGACATGCAGGATACATTTGGTTTTCTTGCATTTCCTTGAGAAGCCCTTCCAGAACTTTCCATGCCGGGACTTTCTTCCGGCAGGCTGTTATGTAATCTGATTGACCGAAATATTCCCTTCAAACTGTCTTGGTTAGAGCTTTCTGGTATTTGGGAAGAGTACTCTTATTTCCTGTCGCAGATTGTGTGCATTAGATGATGAAAGTCTGAGGTTATGTGTGGCAATGTGATTCTAATGGATTTCTTATTGGATTTGCAGTCTCTGGCGGCGAAAAGACTCCTCCCTCTGCTGGACCGCGTCCTTGTGCAGCGCGCCGAAGCCATCACGAAGACCAAAGGAGGAATTGTGATTCCTGAGAAGGCGCAAGTCAAGGTGCTCCAAGCCACAGTTGTTGCAGTTGGTCCAGGTGCCAGGAACAAGGTAGAATTTTCATGATTTCATGTCCCATTAGTCCTCAATCTCATGGCTTATGATTCCCTAGAACGGCGATCACATTCCACTAGCCGTGAAGGTTGGAGACAACGTCTTGCTGCCGGAGTACGGTGGCACAAAGGTCAGTGTGAAATAGGTCAGGGACTTATCAGGGGCCAGAACTCACTTATCTCAATCTCAATAGGTCGAACTGGAGAACAAGGAGTATCACTTGTTCCGGGAGTCGGACATCCTGGCCAAAATGGAATAATTGCCACATTGCTGAATTCTCTTTCCAATCTCTTGCGTTTTCATCCGGAATCACTAAGTTTAAAAGTAGGGATAGAAGCTGCATTTATGTTTTCCCTGGCATCGGCGCTTTGGGTGGCAAATTGTTACTCTCTTAGCCAGCCCATAGTGAACATGAATGAGAAACCATCGTATTTGTACGTAGAAGTCGTTTATAATAAAACTAATTACAAAAAGGGGATACTTAAGCATCTTTAAGTATTTAAGGTAGAAAAAAGTGTTTCGAGCACGTCTCAGATTGACTAAAATTAAAAACAAAGAGAGCCAGGCATTTCACGGATCCACAAAGGAAACCATGATGTAGCGCGTGCCTGAAGTCGTGTGGAGTCCTTCGTGGAAGTGAGTTAATCTTCCGGGATGCATCAACATCCAGCCCATCTTGGTGGCTTCCACGGAGCAGTTGTAGCGCAGGAAGCGACATCCTCCGCCAGTGTAATCAATCCCAACGCGATTCAGGGCAATGTTGATGGTGTACGTCGAGGAGTCGTGATGAGGACGAAGGTAGGGCTGTTCGTCAGGTCGGTAGCGTACCACAAAGTTCATTAGGGACTTTGGAGGCTGCAGCAGAAATAGAATATTTTATATAAACAGAAAAACTTACACAGCAATACACTCACGTCATGGAAGTAGCCAACAAAGACAGCTTCCTGAAGAGGCCGCACGTAGAGTTGGAGGAATTTGAGCCACAGTTTCTCCAGTCCCACTTGATTCATGTGAATATCACGCGTTGGAACCGCCTCATAGCCACCCTCGAGTCTCTTGTCCGAATTGCTTCCATCGGACCACCTGCCAAAGTTCTCCATGATCGCAATCATGTCCTCACAGAAGGCTTCAGTGCCGATTGCGAACCAGTAAACGTCCGGACAGGGTTGAATGCGAGTGGCATTGGCTTCCAGTTGCTTAGCATACTCAGGATGGATGTATCGGCGTTCCCAGTCTTGCTGATTTGTGAGAAGCATGTAAAAATCGGGCCTCGTGAGGCGCGTATTGAACTGATCGCCGTTGATGAGATGACCAAAGTCTTCCATGTTGTCCACGTGCATGAAGATATTGTGGGATCTCAGATGGTGGCACATTGCCATGTCAGGATCGAAAGCCTCGTGCACATGGGAGATTTTGCTCAGCACGCTCTTCTTCATCAAGTAGCAGGATGAGATGTAAGGCACATTCCAAATTCCTCTGGAAAGAGACTCAAGGAAAAAATGAGAAAATAGATTCAAACTCAAGAGCGGCGCGTGGCTAATCAACAATCCTAAATCGACACTTGACTCCACGTGTTCTAGATTCAGATGATCAATCACATTGCGGAAAATTGCATTAGACAGCTAAGATTGGATTATATCGCACCATTGGCACAACTTTTCAATGACGCCTGCAATTTTCATGTTAAGGAAATTACTCTCTTTCCACAATGTTTGTCAATGGAACTCCTTGGAGTGCTCCTCATTTGGTGTGCTCGTAAGGAAGTCACATGTTAGAGGGAGAGATGTCACCAAAACAAATTGATAAAGTGAGTGTCATGGGGAAAATTCGAGCCACTCTCTGAATGGCGGTGTTCTTGCTCCACGAAGCGCTCCGAGGAGACAGACATTGAGGAACAGTCTCGTGGTGTGGAGATCTCACTGGGTGAAACCCTCTTAATAGAATAAACTGATCCGTCAGTGTCAGTTAGCAGAGCGGAGTGAGATTAATGAGCTTGCTCTGCCAGAGGATCACTTTAGTTGATTTACAACTAAATCAGTCTTCGGCGTGGCGTTGATGTGAATATTTTTATTTGCTTATTGAATTTTCGAGAGGATCACGCATCGTTTTCCCCGTGAAAAAAAGTGTTCTTTGTGTGGAGTGGCGATCATGAAGTGTTTACTCATTATTGTGATATTCCTGCTGGTGGCAGGAGCGGTGATTCATGGCCAGAGAATGGGAGGATTGAGGGGCGGTCGTGGGCGTGGAAGACTTAATTGGAACAGCGGAAGAATTCCCACAAATATTCAGCATCGATCACCATCGGCAGTCACATATTATGACAACAAGGACGGTGCGAAGATCGTCAAGTCGTCGCACTTTGAATTTGACTACATGCTGGGCAGAAAGGTACACTTGGTTATCTCAACATGAGGAAGTGATGTTCACGCATTTAAAAGAAACTGTTGCACTTCCCAAACAGATCACATTCTTCTGCATGGCCATTGGAATCCCGCGGCCAGAAATCACTTGGTTCAAGGATGGGGCTGAGCTGTATCAGCACAGATTCTTTCAGGTACAGGAAAAGCACGAAATTGCACGGACTCTTTGATCTCTCCATGATCGTTTTGCTCGCTTAATAGGTACACGAGTGGACAATTGGCAATGATACGGTGAAGTCTAAAATGGAGATTGACCCAACGACGCAAAAAGATGCCGGTTATTATGAGTGTCAGGCGGACAATCAGTATGCCATCGATCGGAGGGGCTTCCGCACGGACTACGTGATGATCAACTACTGATCGACTGGACTCGAGGAAACGCACAACTAAATTATTCCCCCTTTTGCACAACATCAAATTTAAATGCTATTTATGAAGAAGTAAAAAAAAATCTAGTGTATTTCCCCAAAGATTGATACTAATTTATGCACTCATTGAATAAATGGTGGAAATTTTTACAATAATGATCGCCGTTTGGAATTATTCCCACTCAATAGCCACGAAATATTTTGTTTGATGCCGACAAATACTTTTAATTTGGACAAATGAAATAGCGCAATTTCTGTTCCCCAAGCTTCATGTTCCAGCATGAGAGCTGGATTAAAATATATAAAAGCACCATTGCAAATTTTCACTGGTCTGCGCCCGTGATCATCTTTCTCTCCGCCAACGCTCGCGGTGAGGCAAATTCGACTCTGTACAATTATAACAATATATGTACGTGTTGGCAACCGACCGGAATTATTATTACAAATAAACTGAAGGGAGCATTTGGGATGCAGTCGTTTCGAAATCATCGACTGAATCACTTTCAGCCTCTGTGATTTGCAACATCATTGTGACTTTTTTACGCAATTTCACCAGCAAGGCATCGCCAAAGTGAAAGAAGTAGTCTTTTTCCGACAAAGTGCGCACATTTCCTCCAAATATGAAGGTAGCACTGCTTGCTGTCCTCATCTGCGTCTGCCTCTTGGCCCAGTATTCAGAAGCGCGTCGTGGTCGTGCAAGAGGAAGAACAAAATCAAGGGTAATGTAGATCAATTATCTGCGCGAGAGATCGCTCTCTGGCGCTCCTAGCTCCAGAGCTTGTCTCAATCATTGCAACCGATCTTCAATTCTCAAGGTGCAAATTGGACTGCCGATCACAGGCAAATATCGCGATCCTGAGTCCGATCAGTACTACAACAATAACAACGGAGCCAAGATCACTCTCGCCTCACACTTTGACTATGAATACGTTCTGGGGCACAAAATAGCCTTCCTTTGCGTGGCCAAAGGAAATCCTCGTCCGCACATAACGTGGTTCAAGGACGGCGTGGAGATCTTCAGTCACATTTACATGCACGTGAGTTAAGGAAATGATGATCGCATGGCAACAACAGAATCTAATGAAAGTAACCATTTCATCCGTTCGAAGGTACACGAGTGGCGCATTGGGAAAGACAAAGTAAAGTCCAAGATTGAAATTGATCCTGCGACGCAAATGGACGCGGGCGTTTACGAGTGCACAGCTGATAATATGTACGCGATTGACCGGAGAAGTTTCAAGACTGACTTCTCCATCGCTTTCGATTGAAGATCTGCAGGAGAGATCGTGCTATGCAGTATAATCCTCAAAGTTTAGAACCACTTGAATCCGTTTTGTATCAACACTTAAAAAGGAGATCAATAAAATGTTGGATTTAAACCAAATTCATAGTCTCTAAGAATTGATTGGTCACATTGACTATTTTTCAACTATTCATCGGCAAATCTAAGAAATCAGAGAATGAGGAGCGAAAAATTAGTTAAAATGTCGGTTATTTAGAGATAAATTTCCTACTCGATGAAAGTTCGCCATTGGGCAGTTTTCAGGTACCTTTTTGTACAAGAAAAATAGAGTTTTTGATCAATTCCAATTCGTTCCATTTATATCAAAGTGATATAGATAAATTTCGCATGCTTTCGCAGTGAAAGTGATTGAGAATATGAAAAAACTTCTTACCTTTTGTTGTTGTTCACGATGTCTAAATAGTCGTGGGATCTTGCGTAATAGCCTTGATCGCTGAGAGCTCCCCAAAAATTACTCCAAGCATCGTTTGGTCTCGGCAGCAGTGGGGCGATCACGTCTCTGAAGCATGAAAGTCCCATTAGCCAATTGAAGGGAGAAATTCAAGGCAATCATACAAACCGATTCTGAATCATTAAAGTCTTCAGGACTTTGGGATTGTCTAGGTGTGCTTCAGAGTCCACGACGAATAGGTAGTCACTTCCCTTTGAGATAGCTTGTTGCCTGGACGAGGAGTAATAGAAATGAATTGGATCTTGGAGGACATAAAATATTGTGCACTTACACTGCCAAATCTCTTGCTGTTCCCTCGTTAATGCTATCTTCGACTAGAACTTTCTTAATGCTTTTAAAATCACTGGTGTGTTTTGTGAGAAACTCGGCAATCGCATCCTCATGGTACTTTACATTGCTGTGCAGGAACAAATTAATATTACTCTTTGGATAGTCTATTGCTTCTAGATGCTCAAGAAACTCCTTGAAGAAGGGCATCGCCTTCTCAATGAACACCGCCATTGAGACCACAGGCAGATCTCCCTCCTTGAGCTCCATCAAGTTCTCCGAGCAGTCTTGACATTCGCCCTTTATAAAGGCGCCCGCCAAGTAATTACCCAGACTGTTGATGCGCGCCTTGCTTAGGCCATTTCCATGAATCACAGACGGCACTGTGGCGGTGTCCACATTCACGACAAAGGCCTCGCCGGAGTCGTCGTCAAAGTGCAATTCCACGTCCTTTTCAGCGCCGTAGAGATTCTGAAAAATCTCGGCCTTGTGGTCCAATTTCATCTTATGCTTCTCCCTGAATTCCTCCGTGAGATATATCTTTGTGTAGTACAGCTGATCATCGTCCTTGTCGTCCAGTGGAGTGCGCAGCATCTCATATAGATCCGCTGCGTAGCCCATAAAGAGGCCAGAGTTGAGGAATCTCGCACCGTGAGCCACTTTCGGGTATGATTCTCTGAGCGAGACATCTGGCCAGACTGAGTGTTCGGCGCCAAAGACAATTCTTGCGTCCATCTTCTTGAATTTGTCCACGATGACTTTCGTCGGTGCGGAGAAAATCACATCGTAACTGTCCGTGAAGAGGACAACCTTGTCCTTTTCGTTCTTGTAGGGCTCCAATGCCTTCCGCAGGAGGTTGACTTTGTAGCCACCGCCAACGGAGCTCATGTCGCCGCCTCGCCACTTCTCTCCCATGCCCAGAGTCTGGACGTCAATTCCGTAGAAACTGGCAGAGCGGATGTAGCGCAAATAGCCCTCAACAGGATCGGATGCAACCGTGAAGACAAGGACATTTTCTGTGAAACAAAACCAAAATTACAATTAGTATTTGAACTGAATAAACCCACTCTGCATGTTGAGTGCGTTTTGTCCATTCACACGACATTCTATCTGTTGTATTTCCTTTTGGAAAAGATTGGAATAAATGTGTCTTGTGCTTATCGCGTGGGTCTAACGATAAATGCGCTCATTTCCCAGCTTTCTTCTATCCTCATAACATTCTATTGGATAATTAAGATTTTAATTTAAATTGAAATACAGACGACGTGTAATATCTAATTTCAAATTACACGCTCTTTGCTCTCATTTCGCGCGCGTGACGATCAAATGATTATAGTTTCAGCGTTATTTTTAGCTGAGGAAGTAGAATAAACACTGAATCATCTGGAGAAGTGATTTCGCTTCACGAAATAATGTGAGAAGCAGACAAACTCAAAAGCCGCTGTTAAAATTTACCCTGAATATCTGGTATTCTTCTCACACAATTTATTTGTTCCTGCAATTCGTTAGAATCTTTCTCTGTGTGGAAACAATTCGTGATTAAGATTAATTTGACTCTGTGAACTCACGCTTTTTGTCCAAGCCTGGAACATGAGATAAAGTCTGAAGATAATTGGTCCATGAGAAATTTTAATCATTTCTCTAATTCGGTCAACACAAAAAGTTTAGACTTGCAGATTTTTTGGTAGATCATCAGAGATTTTCAAGGACTGCCTTTTCTATTTATTCATTAATTAAGCATTTGGCTTGATACACTTATCGTTCCGCCTGAGAGAGTTCGAGGAAGTGATCTCTCCAGAAACTTCTTTCTAGCACTGAAGCCGCTGCATGAGCCTTTTGGCGATGAATACCACATTTTCCGATAATTACTCACCTTTGCCTTTATCAGTGGCGCAATTTACACTGAGAAACGATAAGACTAATGCGAAAATTAACATTTTAAAATGCATTATTATTACTTTATGGCACTAAGAACACATCTCCGGACTTTTACTCTCGCGCAAGAATGGAAATGTCAACATGAATGACGCGCCTGTGTTGAGCAAATGTCGTGGAATATGGATTTGCTCAGTTTCAAACTGAATAACAGACGCCAAAGCATGGCTGGGAAAACTCTTAACAGTACAGTGTTAATTATCTAATTACCTGCAAGAGGACAGTCCTTCAAGTAAATGGATTTGGTAGTTTTGTCACATTTAACCGTCTTATCATCCTTTGTGCAGGATCCACTTTCCAGTTGAGAGCGAGAAACACTTAGGAAAATGCCTAAAAGCAATATTTTCACACCAGCGGCAATCATTTGCAGAGTTAGATGTGATTCGAGTGAAAACTAGATTGATACTGACTTTCTGAGTACAGCATCGAATCGATCCACTTGAATATGAGAGCCACAAGTTGGATTGGACATGACATGATAAAGAGTAAGAGGAAGCGAAATCAATAAGATTGATACAAAAACATTGATCAATTGTGCGTGAAAAGTCACACTTTCACCGAATTAATGGTAATGAGAAATCTATTCACTTCCAGAAGTGATTTTTCTCTAGTTTTATTTCTAGGATTTCAATAGACCTTGTCAGTTACTTTATGCTTTATTTAGGTACAATAAAAATTATTAGAATTTACAAAACTCTCATTTTAGATGTTCTGTTTGGACAGTGAAATTGATTAAAAATTAATCCTACACTACAAAATTATTTCTCTTCTTAATAAATTAAAAAATAAATCTTGACAAAATCTTGTTAAACATTTTAAAAATACCGTTGTGTTAAAAATGTGAGAAAATATCATTGAATATGTTTATAAAATATGTATTTTGTTTTTCTGTGGCACAAAGCAATGGTCAAATTTTGGCTTTATTCGTTTATTTTCTCTCTTAATCGCGAGACTAGTTGTTAAAAATCGTTGTTTACCGTCTAAAAAGGCGCAATGTTAATATGATTAAGGACACTTTACCACGCATTATTACCACAAATTTTCCCACTTAGTCACCCTTCTTCATGGTATTCTCATGGGAGATTCTGAGACGACGTCTCAACTCAGTGGGGAACTTCTCATAGCACTTCTTGCACACGGGCTTCTCGTCGTACTCGTAGAACTTTGACTTCTGCGTCATCTTCACGTCACAGACGGAACAGGAGAAGTGATGGACGCACCACGCCTTATTGAGTGCCGTGAAGACGTCTCCGGCAATCACTTGATTGCACACGAAGCACAGATTCCCGAAGAGCTGATGGTAGTGCATCTCGCAGTACGCCAGACCGCGCTTCTCGTAGTGACGGTGGCCTAAGAAGGGCTTCTCGCACTTGGCGCAGACGAAGTGCTCCACGTGCCAGTGCTTCCCCAGAGCCGTGACCACGCGCTCCTCAATGGGGCGACGACAGGCGCCACAGATGGGAATACCCATCTTGTCGTGGCAACGCAAGCAGTAGAGCTCATTCATGTCGTTGGCCGCAAAGCCCGGGCGACTCTTCACCTCACGCGCAGTTGAGTCCAATTCCACATTGCACGCCGTGCAGTTGAAGTGATAGCCGTGATAGACTTCACCACGGAAGCGTAGCGGCTGATCGTCAATGACACCACTGAAAGAAACCAGAAAAACCCAAATTAAATTCCACAAAACCTGATAAAGACGTGATAAACTTACTGGCACTTGTTGCACATGTACTTTCCGAGTCCCACTGCCTTCACTTTGGCATTGCACTCGTGACAGAGAGCACGATTCTGATTGCGGATGAAGCCACAATCGGCCAACTCCTTGGCGCACATCTCGCATCGGAAGCACTGCGGATGCCAATTAGCTGCCATTGCCTTGATCACGCGTCCGATCACGAATTCACCGCACTTGTTGCAGCACGGCGCGAAGAGGACGTGGAAGTCACGCTCGCAGTACTTCCTGCCCTCGAACTCGTAAAAGATGCCATCCTGGAACGTCCTGAAGCACTGGGCGCAGCTGAGATTGAGAGTTGAATGTCATTTCATGCACTGCGCTCATATACCTGTTGATGCACTTACACAAAACATTGAGTGTGCCAGAGTTCGCCGTTGGAGTTCACGATCTTCTCGTGCGGCTCAAATCCCTCCTCGCATCGGGAGCAGTACATGCTGCCGAGGGACATGTCAACGGGAATCCTAAAAGATCGGAGAAATCATTGAGTATGTTGATTGACTTAGGAAGTTAGTTTTAGTCACGTTTTTTAGTGCATTAGAATGGATTAATCAAGAAGCGCAACATTAAGAAAATTTCATAAAACCGTGAAATTGATAAACAGGCTCAAAACATGAAGTTAATTCGCAGAATAATTATTAATATTGGCGAATTTAGATCTGGATTAGTGCGATCTTCACAGTGACTCATCCATATTGTAAAGAATTCCCTGGATAATCCTCTAGTAATCCCCGGAAGATGTTAAGCTTGTTAAATAGACGGTGTGTTTAGCTACAAAACTCCGCCTTAGCAATTTAGTAATGTTTTAAAATTCAGGTATTGCGCGATGTTCGTCTTCACTGAACGCGATTGCTCAATAAGTCGCCACAAATTCCGCGGCGTACGGAATCTTTACACAGAGTCAGCGGATTCTCATTGCCTACTAAGTGCCTGAATTCGTGACATTCACGCGAATTGGGATTAACTGACCGAACAATGGTCATCACGCCTTGTCCCTTTGGCTCACTCTGGTCAGATTGCATGGCTGTGGCGGCAGGATTTTTGGGATTGAGCTCAATTCCGCAGGGATTTCGATGGCACACCAACTTTTTCACATGTAACTCGGATTGAACTGACTTTGTGGGCTTTTCCGGCGCTGATAACACGTCACTCTTGAGTAATCTATCGCCTGATAACGTGCGCCGTTTGTACAACTTAGACCTCTCCACGGGCTGCAAGAGGAATGTTTTGGGCTTCGAAGCGCACCGCATTTCTCCTCAATCAGGCCTGTTCTTCGCGGAGTGCCTGTGATCACTGCGCGACTGCTGGACAGCGAATAGACGAGGGATAAAATGCGACGCACGGACAAAGCCCGGGGCAATCTTATCACACACGGAGCGACTCAAGAACATTGCCCAGATGCATGACACAAAAAGAGGTCTTTCCCACGAGCCAATGAGAAGGCGGATTGGATGCAGGAGCCCGTGTTAGGGCAAAATCTCTTTTTCCGGGAACTCATCTGGGGCAACATTTCAGCTACCATATATGGCCTTCGGCGGGCAGTCAACCTACATTGTTAGTGGGAAGCGTTTAGCTGGACATCTGGCGCTATTTCGGGGGTCGGACACACTCAGAGACACCCCTTGCATGCTTACCCTGTAATTGGGGGCATTTCAGTGGTCAGAAACTTCTCAAAAGAGTGAAAATGTGTGAAATTTCTTCACAGCTTGGCAGCTGCAAGGACAAGCAAGAGAAAATCACATTTTAACCACATTTCCACCACTTCTCCGACGTATCATGCACAACGTGGGCCTCCTCTGTGCCTTGTGGAGTCCGGTGGTTGTACTATTTACACGCTATGTGGTACATACCTTATCAAAAAAGGGGAAAATTGATAAGAAGTGACAGCTCCCACTGAATATAATTTTATACCCAATTCACACTACCCGAGACGCACACCACCACTCACGCCCCACATGACGTCATCGCGAGAAGCCCACGAATCCACTTGCTCAGAGAAATCCGCTCAATCTTCAACTAAAATTTAATTTTATTTCACTGTACACGCATCCTGATGACAATTTCTCACAAATATACAGCCAAGAAAAATCTACGCTTAAATTAACTCCAAGATGATTTAGCTAATCCGTCTTCTCGCTGGCGTGACTACATTTCTGGAACAAATTGTAATACTTTTTACACATTCTCCCGAATCCCCCTCGTGTCTGGTCTGCTCCACAGACTGCTTAGTTGTCCTTCTTCATGCGCGTGGAGGTCATTCGGTAGATGATGGAGTCTCGGCCAGGATCCATGTCGGCGATGGCGTAGCAAATGGCGAGCAGTGTGAAGAACAGCACGACTCCGAACCAGAGGATGATGTTGAAAATCACGGGGTAGTTTGACGAGTATGACTTGGCGAGATTGAGGTCAGTAGGCTGCAAAGGAGGAAAGCAAATCATTAGACAATGTCATGAGCAGGTTCAGTGAGAGTCTTACAATTTCCTGTCTGAGTTCAGGAGTTGCTCGCTTGGCACGGGACAAATCATCCTTGCTGGTGATTGTGGCCACGAGTATGTTTCCATCGTTGCAATTCTCAGCAGCTTCGATCAGGTCCTCAATGGCCCTCGTCACGAGTTTCTTGGCGTCTGTGAAGGCGGCAGAAGACTGTCCATCGTGAGCAGATGCCAATTCGCTGAGGGAAATGCGAACAGTGACCAAGTGTGGTACGGCAGAAGATTTAGCCTTGATCTGGAAAACATCAAATATCAGAGGAGATTCTTCACATCTCCAAGATTACTCACCTTCTCGGTCAATTCATTGATGATAGCCACATTGTACAGGAAATCCTTGTCCTCCGAATAGACCGAAGGCTTCAGAGAAGAGGTAGTCTTTCCAGGTACAGGTTTGATGCTACCATAAGCTTCCGCAATCGATGAGAGCTGCAACACAAGACGGAGTTGCATAGGAAAATTCCACAGATAAACAGATTGCCGCTTACCGATTCACTGTGATCCTCCAAGTCGACATTCACGTGATTCGACACTCTGGAATTGAGCAAATCCAGACCATTGGCCGCGGAAGCACCGAACAAGGGGAATTGCTGAACCTTGCTGGACACGAAGTTGAGCTTCTCAATGCCATCCACCTGCACGATGAGGGCAGACTTGGGCATGCTGAAGGGATTCCGGATGCGAAGGCCATCGAAGTCGCCCTGGCCGTCGATTGTGTAGCCCAAGGAGGCGAGGAAAACGTCGGGAATGAGATCAGTGCTCAGCTCATCGTTCCCCTTGAATTCTATCGAGTCCGGATAGTGATGCACTGATAAGAATCCTGAGGCATTGACTGCAAATGGACGAAAATCGATAGTCAAATAGATGATTGGAAAAGGCATTTTCCACAACTTCTCCCATCAGCAGACAGCAAAAAGGACATGTTCAGGTCTATTTGCAAAGGATTTACTTACCAGCCACAATGGAGAAAAGGGAGATAAGTGCGAATTTCAACATTTTTCACGACCTTCTGCACACTTCTTTTCACACCAAATCATATGACAGCCTCCCGAGTGATCACGTGAATGGCCGATTGGACAAGTGCGAAGTTCGCCACAACACAGTTGCTCAGTTTTGGCGCCACAGGGTGCTTCGAAGAATTCAAATTATAACGGCAAATATAATACATATTTTTCAGATTTCCCTGCATTTCTGCAAAGAAACAAGGAAATCAAGAAAATACTAAAAACCAACACTTCCAATCATCTACAATGTTTATTAAACAATGAAATCTCAAAATTTTTCTGCAATATTATTGTCCTCTGTATACGATTCAACATGAAATGCACATATAAAATATACATAGAACATGATAACAAGCACTACGAGGAGTCTTTTATTCTTACAATAAGCAGTGTTTTTTTCCACTCCAAATGTACGGGTTTCTAATAATTTGTATAGTTCTGAAGATAAATCATTTCACAATTTGATAAATTGATTTAACATGTTTTCAGTGATCTTTTTTCTGATATGTAAACTCTCAAAGTCTCGTTGAGCATTTTAAAAACTAAAACAGCTTCACTCTGGTTATTTTCATGGGAATGTTTATTGTAGAAAACAAGTTGTAATATCACTTAAAATCATTTAAAATGGTCAATTGAAAAAACTAAAATCTACCATCTGAGTTTCGTTTGGCAATTAAATTTTAGTTGGCCTCCTTTTACCCACGACCAGCAAGATTTTCTGTAGGAATCCAGTAATACTCACTGAAATAGATAAAAGAATCATGATTTTAGTTCATTATGACATATAATTGTGAAGAGATGAAAAATCTGTGCAATGGTGCAGCCATTCTATTTTTTAGTGTGCAGTGTGCTTTTGAAAAATAGTTAAGGAACATAAATGCGTAATATTTTCGAAATTAAAAATATGTTTATGAGCAAGAAATGCATGAAAACAATCATAATAATAAAAGAAAACCTTTAAACTCGACTTTGGCCTTGTAACAATCATTGTTTTCTGAAGAGCTATTGTGAATCCTCCTAAAATGTATACATTCGTGTGATTAACAATAGCAACAAGTGTTTCTTGTGTTTAAATTTGATACATTTTTTCCAATGATAAGAACACTCACCCATTAGCTTTCGGAACCACTTTGGCTTGTTCTTCCATGACACGAAGACTAAATAGACTGGAATACCTGATGAGATCATAAGGACGCCGTAGCCGGTCTCAACTGGACTGGCGTACATAGGAACAACGGTGACGAAGATCGTGGCCAATAGGTAGACAACGGGGAAGATGAGGTTCACTTTAATTGGTCTCGGAAGATTAGGCTGTGCCCATCGGAGCCATGGCAAGCAGAGGACAGACACTCCTATGCTCAACTGTAAGAAACAGAGCGTTAGACTGGATCTCATGTCTCTCCTTTCGCGGATCTTTACCCATGTGGCGAAGCCGACGTAGTTGATAAGAGCAAAGATGTCCGAAGACATCAGGTAGAGCATTGAGAGAAGAGCCATGATGAGGACTGCCGGCGTGGGCGTCATTCGGTGAATCTGGATCATTGTGAGTATTTCGGGCATCTGTCCTTCACAAGCCCCTGCGTAAAACAGTCGCGAGGACGTCAGAAGGATACCGTTGACAGCTCCAAAGGTGGACAGGGCGACAAATACAGGGATCGTCCAGGCCATGCTTCCGAAGATTCTGTCGGCAAAAGTCACAGCCACGGCTTCAGATCCCAACACCTCTTCAGGTGAGAGGATGGTGTAGAAGGAAGCATTGGCCAGGACATAGACCACGGTCACGAGAGTGCATGAGATTGCAATGGCACGCGGGAGATTCTTGATGGGATCCTTGAGTTCTTCAATGATAAAATTCAGATAGTTCCATCCATTGTAGGCGAATAGGCCCGAGTAAAAAGATAGGGCTATAGAAGCCACGTCGCCTTGTGTGTTCTCGAAGGTAAAATATTCAACATGTCCTGCAAGGAATTCAGAATGACTTCTCATATATTAAGAATTCCTGTCAGATGTTATTTATACTGTACCTGTAAACAGCAAGTAGGCACCCACAAATATGATGACAAACAGAGCCAATAATTTGGCAAATGTGAAGACATCCTGAACTTTTGTAGCCCATTTAACATCCCAGCAGTTTACGAAAGTCAATACAACTGAAAGAAAATATAAAGGTGTATGTATTATTATTATTAATCTAATCAGTTTAAATTTGAATTCACTGAAGGAGTTTAGCGCACTCTGTCCCAGAATATCTCCGCATTGACTTCCTCTCGTGATAATTTCTCTCTAAAAGCACATGAGAAAACCCAAACATGACTTGTTATTTATTTACATATGGATCTTCATAAATGAGCTTGAATGATTTACTAAAATATCACTTTATGTTATGTAACTTCGTAATTGTGACAAGTGATAGAATAATAGGAGTTCAGCTCTGATAAACATTTACATTTAAAAAGTGTCTTAATATCAATGATCCCCATTAGCCAGATGACTCCGTGTCAGGCGTGTCAGGATACAATAAATCATGGTCATGTGCTCTGGATGGTTTATTCAATGCTACTGCATCTTGTCGCCGAGAGTTGATGCGGATTATCTCGTGAGACACGCGCCACGGTACTCACCAATGCAGCACACGGCCAGCATCCGGGCTGACTCCTCCGGAGGCTGGCAGTCCGGGAAGAAGGGCTTCATGACGTAGACACTGAAAGTGAGCGCCACGATGGCTTGCGAGCAGGGTCGCACAATCATGCACTCTATCCAGAGCCTGATGAAGGCCATGAAGGGCCCAAAAGTCTCCATGATGTACGCATAGTCCGCGCCAGACTTTGTTATCATTGTTCCCAACTCTGCATAGCAGTACGCACCAACCTTGTGTGCAAAGAAAAGTTGAAGAGAGATAGTGGTGAAAAAGAATTTTTCATCTGATAACCATTTAGCACATTAAGCTTATCATAATAATTTTATTACCACTAGTTATGCAATTAAGAAAACATACAAACACGTGTAAAAGAAGCTTATTTTAGAAACTGAAAAAATGCCTTGGTGATGATATTTAAACAGCTACGAGATCGCAGATAATTTATAGAGGAGGAGTGGGGTAGTTTTGAATTCACATCAAAAAATTAATTTGTAAGTTTAGGCAAAAAATAGTGAAAAAGAAATATTAATGTGAAAATTAATTTTTTGGTCAGATGAAAAACTAATTCAATTTGCAAGAGCACAGAAGATTTTTTGCCCGAAATTGCTCAGCTCTCCCCTAAGATTCACCGCTCCATATATTTTGTCAGTTAAATCTTTCAGCTTAAAGTTGATAATGGAGCTTTTTACAAATTACTACACACTATCTCTGAGGAGTTGGCAGAGAGCATCACGGAGACCTCTGACTGTCGAGTCAGTGTGGGATTAGGTGATTACTCATATCTTACCATGGAAAATACACCGGAGATAGTCCAGACGATGAGAGCCATGTTGACACTGCCTGTGTACTTGAGGACTCCTGTGGGAGACACAAAAATGCCCGAGCCGATGATCGAGCCCACAATCACAGTGACGCCGTTCAGGAGGCTCATCTTGGCCTTGAGGGCCACCTCCTCGCCCCCAGAGACGCTCTTCGCATTCTCCGTGTCCTCATTGCTGTGAGTGGATGCCTTCCGTGATGCTTTGCTATCCATCAGTTGGCTGGAGTTGACCTAATTGGACACCTACGTACAGAAGCGCAAGATTAATTCGTCCCGCAATTAGAAAAGAGCATCAATTGCTGGGTGTAATCTCGTGAGTTTTCACTTGGCTATTTTAACAATAATACACATCAGGAGTGGAAAAACTCGTGACATTAAACTTCGATGCATCGCAGCAAGGTTACTCGTGATAACTTTCCGCAAAGTAATGAGAAATTGATCCACACACTCTTTACCGACCAATTCACATCAGCAAGACCGCAAAACAGTCGTCAATGTAATCAATCGGTCGACAAGAATGTAAACAGCCGGAGACACGATGCGTTTATCAATTGTGTACACACATTTTGGAGCAAATAGTCGATTCTTCAAATCTCACGCACTACTCACGGGACACACTACAAATGTCTGGGTCGTGAATGCGCGTCCTTGAATTTTTTGCACGTGCCTCACAAGTGATGTGCAAAGTATAAGGGTCTTTTGCGCGCCTCTCTTGTGCGTCACTGAACTTCACCCAATGATGCTGAGGGGTTGGAAAATGCGTTCGGGAGAACGCAAAAGATGACTCAATACAGTGCAATCTTTGCATCAGCACTTACCACGAGACTGAGGTCAGAAAATCAATAAAAATATCCACTAAGAGCTACAGAAAAATCCACATAAACACAATTAAAATCTACTGCACAGAATATTAATAACACGTCACTATCATCGTCTTGTGTGGCTTCACTGAAATGTGAGAGGCGATTTGCCGTAGAGTTCCAACAACCCGCCTCTGGTATCCTTCCTTAACGGTTGTCCGCACAAAACTGGTGAGTCTAAATTTTATTTCGCATTAAACTCGTACGACTCCATTCAAGTTCACACAATATTGTGTCTCCCTAATATAATCCATAGAATCACACAAGTATTCTATGCCGGCATCCCAAACAATTTGCTCTCACACATTTGCAATTTTGGATTCAACAACAATTCGAGAGGCAGCAAGTTGAAATTTCAACTGTGAAAAGTGTTTTTCGGTCATATGAGATGAAAATATGGGAAATTTCTCAAATTTCTCGTGTACTGAAGTGGTTTTCTGTTAAGAGCACCCTTTTTATGCACACCTAGACACATTTTCCACTCTGCGACACCAATTCAAACAGAAGTCTTTCACTTGACTGTGCGTTGAGAAGTGCATCTACTTGTGAACATAAGGGATGTGCAGCACTGAGTACATGTAATTTTTCGCAAAAATATTAACTATAAACCTCGTTGAGAGAAATTTGAACATTTGGCAAGTTGCTAAGCAAATCAATTGGGCCCAATTGATTCCAAGGCGATTGGCTTTAATTGGTTTTCCGTAGGAAAAATCTCTAATTTAGAGAATCAAAATAGAAAAACAATCTAATTTCGCATAGATCGCATAATTGTTTACATAATGATTACATAATTACTCACTCAATAGACATCAATTGGATTCTTTACATGGTCAACAATTGGAATGGAGAAGCTGAAAGCCAGAAATTGTACGATTTATTTTACTTGCTGAAGAAAGAATGATTTCCAAAAATTCTCAGCAAATTGTGAATGATAAAAAACAAAAAATGGGAGCTTTTGCATGATTAAGAGGTCATCATGTGTAGCTTTCGTTATGATTCAGATGTTAAGATTTTTCCATCACATTTCCAGTAAACAGAAAGCAATAAACATATATATTTTGTTACTGAAATTTTTAACAATGATATTTATAGCTTCTGATAAGAGTCTAATCTCGAAATTCTTATTTAGACAGTGTACACTGTTGCTCGTGCCACCTAACCTTCTATCTAACATTACTATCACCCTAAACATAGAACATCATAAAAGTGTTGCGTAGAAAATTCGGCCCAACTCTGGACACATTGTGGTAATTAATGATGCGAGTGCAGGGGTATTTTCCATAAAAAATCACACACACTCAACATTAAATATTCGTCCGGCTGATAAGAGACAAAGTGTGTGCGTGTTGAAATGATCGGACTTTCTTTGGATGGAACCGGGTATATCTTTTGGGGAATGATGTTGTTACGGCTAGGGTTAAAGGTCCCAGTCGTCATCAGTTGTGTGTTGCATTGACTCCCCACGAGATCGAATGGCATGGAGGAGATCGTAATAAAAACATTGCGACTAATGTAATGTTTATTGTTTCTTTAAAAATAGCCCGCGTGACGTGTGAGGAAGTGGCCGTTGGGAGTCATGCGGACGGCTGGAATTTGCATTTTATTGGAATCCCTCTGAAAGCTTTCGTTGATTGAGCAGTTTTTATTGTCGTGAACTCGGCGGAGGGCAAATCAGGGGTTCTTTTGCCATAGACTAGGATTTGTCAGCTTCACATTATTGCTTGGGACGTTGGCGTAAGTAGATTCCCTCTGTCCTGTCCTTGTCATCGCAAATTCCATTATAATGAGTGGTGAGTGCGAAATCAAGGGAAATTTTCCGTCCTTGTGCTTTCCCATTGTTGGCGTGTCTGCGAAGGAGCGCGCTCGGGGGAGTGATTAGTGGCGATTGTGGACAAGTAATGGGGCCTGTGATTGATAGAGGATATCCTTGATTTTACCCCACGTGACGTCACTGACCGTAGGTGCTTGAACTTCACAGAAGCTCGTGGCGATGAGGTGGTCTCTTCATCATTAGTGCGAAAGTTATGGATTTTCACGCGAGAGAGTTGCGCGTGTCGCGTGAGCGTATTAAGTTAAAGTGCCACAACATAAGACTGGGTTATTAAGGCAGCGATTAACGAATTATACTCCACTTGGGAATCATCTAATAATCGTCACCAATTGATTACATCCTGACACTAAACGATTTTATGGCGGCATCTTACTGGAGAGTGAAATGCCATTATCTCGCGCAAGATGGCAAATTGGCAGACAATGCTATCGGTGTGGATAGTCTCAATGAACAGATATCTCACATCTCATCACTTACTCTTATCACTCGTGGGTGTGAATGGAAGAACAGTGGCACCACGCCTGAAGGATGGAACTCGACTGCTAGGGTGACATTCCGTGGTGAAACGCAAAAGGCACGTTTTAGGGTAAAACATGGATTCAGAGCCAGAGTGCGCATAATCTGCGAAGTCCACGACACCCCCAAGCAGCATCCCTCCGCCGCGCCGATCACATTGATTTTTGCATTCCATCCCGCAACAGCAGACGATATGGAATTAATCATATCACTCGGCAAAGGCAGCATCTTGAATAAATTACCACGATGTACCAATGATACCCAATTCGCGTGTCTAATTGGGCGCCTCGTGTTCGCAGAAGCAGCGCATCACCTCGGCATCTGATAGCGATTTTTCGCTTCGGTCGAAAATGCGTATGACGTCAGTGTGCGACGTCATCGATGCACCAGTGCACAAGAAATGGATGTGCAGAAAACGGTGGACAAAAAACGCGAGCTGGCAGGAAAGACATCTGTGGCGGAATGATCATCTGCCGAGTCAGTGACATCCAGTTAATAAGCCTGTGCACTGTGAAGTGAGATGTGTTGCTTCTACACCAAAATTGCGTGGACACTCATCATTAATTTAATTACACGCCGCGAGAGATCATCAGCGGAATCGGTGGTCTTTGAATTGATGCCCGTGGTGGAGGCGAAACCCTACTTCCGCCTCGTGGACCGAGAGAGTGCTGAGGATTTGCTGAAAGGGGGCCCCGATGGAGCCTGTCTGGTGCGCCCCTTCAAGGAGAAGGTTAGGAGAATTTTTCCTCAGCATCGAGCATTGATTAAACATTGTGTTGCACTCGCAGGACGAGTCCATTAAGTACGTGCTCTCCGTGTATGCACAGGAGAAGTTCTTCCATCTGCACCTCCGCCAGACGCCGGACGGCGGATTCGTGGTGGGTCTAGAGAAGGCCATAGAGAAGGAGTTCCCATCACCCATCCACTGTGTGGATTACTATAGACACCACAATCTGCGCTGCATCAACAGTTCGGGCAATGTTGTGGTAACATTGAAACCCATATCTGAATGAAAGGCGATGCATTTATTTACAGATAGGCAATTCCATTGTGTTAGTGGGATAATAAATATAATTATGTGATTACAACGGCTTTGAGAATGCATCTGTACTCCTGAATGAGGGCTGGCCATACGAATGCACGAATTATGTTAGAGTTTCGATCTGAATAAGATGAGTGGCGCTCCTGCTTCTCCGGCTGAAGAAGACCTGCAAGAGATGTTGATATCCGTGAGATAACAATTGCGAGACTTGTGTCACTTACTCACCGTGGGTGAAGTCATTGTCCAGGTAGTAGGGGTTTGGCTGGTTGACCATCTTCCATGCCAGGCGAACGCAATTGGAAGTGTAGCGCTGCAATTGGGGGCAGCTCTCGAGGCAGGGGTACTCATAGAGTGTCGATAGTATTTGATTGGATATTTGCTTCTCGATGTCACCCAGAGGCAGTGAATCGGCGGTGTCTTGCAGATACTGCCGAACAGCTTTCTCCAAATTCAGTACAGACACCTTGTTGCCACTACTTTCCCCATCGCAACCAGTTGGACCCAGAACACGGCGCACCTCGGCCACTTTTCTCTCACGGAGTCCCTGGCAAGATCTGAATGCCAGCTGAAACATAATGATATATTCAATGGTGAGACTTCCGGACATTCCGTGATCACACGCAGTGCGAGTCACAATTTTCGATCAGAATATTTCCTCACCACAATGATAGAGAAGAGAATCTTCGTCTTGAGATAGAAAGCACTCTTCAGCTGAGGGATACTGTCCAGATAATCTACAATTTCCACGCGATTCTTCGAGTAGAGCAGTGAAAAGGCACGAATGAGCTCGCAACTATGAAAGAGAATTTAAATGTAAGATTAGGGAAAAAAGGAGAAAGTATTGATAATGTTCTGTAATGGCATTCGAGAGATTTCAAAAAATATTTCTAAATTGATTCATTGATTGATTGATTATGCGATGGATGATCACGATTGAGAAAAGATCTTTTGTTAGTTTCTTTTGTGTGCTGTGGTTATATTTCAATAGTATAAAGTGTGCTCTGAAACTCATTAGTGAATGAAAAGCCAACATCTTTAATCAATCGGTTAAAATTCAGCAACACTTAATCTCCATCTTAGCGCAGAAGATTTATATGATAATTATAAATACTTGGATTCGTCTGGAAGCGAGTCTGCAGAGTCGGAATGGTATCCATCGCTGCAGCAACTGTATCCTCCCGGACTAGAAGGCACTACCACAGGACCCATGAGCTTGAGCACAGAGTCACACCCTCTCGCGAAGTTCATCATAATTCCCGCCACAGGACGGAAGTCACAGTTGAGGAGCGGGTCTGATCGCCGAATTTCTCCTATGCAAAAGAGTGCTTCCTTATCGCACTGCACCCTCTGCGAGAGAACGTCCACGAGTTGCCCCAATTGCTTCAGGGCTGGTTTATCCAGGAGGGTGAGAACGGTCTTGTTGTCGATCAGTCTTTGTTGCAAGTCGTCATGGTTGATGGCAAGGAGACGCTGATGCGACGACTGGGCAGGATCCTGATGAATGGTCACTGGACTCAGTTCGTCGAGCTTGTGTATGGCGGCTTTATATGTGTCCACATGGCGCTGAAGTTCTGTTTTGAGGGCAGTGTGAAGGGCGGTTAAATTGCCGGTTTGGTCAGCTGTCAGGCCGTGCATCCCGAGACCCTGGATGGCCTGATCTAGGGCCCGTCGACGATCTCTGAGTGTATCTCTGACCGAGGGATTCCAGGCTGCGATGGCTTCTATGAGTTTTGAACAGCGCTGGCGGAGACCAGACTCGTGTGGATTGCCAAAGAGCTTCACTAAGTGCCACACGACTGAGTCCACGGATATATCTGGCTTGGGGGTGGAGAGAACGACATTGAGCCGACTGTAGAATGACTCTAGGAGATAAGCACTGTGCGGAAGTGCTTCGATTAGTAAATCCATCGGGAGCTCTGACACAACGGAGCGAAGGAGGGACGGCCCAAGGCGTCCCACAACTCCTGCAGCCTCCCGATACTGTCTCCCTTCAGACAGGAGCATAAGGCGTCTGAGGACGTGTCGAGGACTGGTGAGGCCTTCGCGACCATCTCTAGACGGGCCTCTTATTCTTTCACGATTATCCACCATCAGTGCCACTGTTCACTCTTGATCACTTTCTACCGGCACTCCGAGAGCATCCGTCCGAACGGCTGAGGAAGTAAGACGCGACTGACGAGACGATCGCCGTGAAGACTCTGAGGTATGTGCCCGTGCTGCATCTCTTCTGGGGAGGGCGTAAACTTCCGTGCCAGCAAGAGCGACTTCATTTCTCTCTCTCTATCGCGTGAAGATTTTACTTTCACATCAACTTGTACGGCAGAGATGTTTTCACGGCAAACAGCAATATCAACAGTTAAAGAACAATTTGAGCATACCTTCCATAGCAATTATGCGTCTTTATTCTCGGGAGAGCAACACTGCCTTGGCGAACGGCATTGCGCTATCCCAGAGAATCGTGACATGATCCCACGAGAGGTAATTAAAGAGCAGATGGATTAGCCTCCACAATTTATATGTACCGTCCTGGGACTTTTTCTAATTAAGAACCATCATATTCAAATGATGAGGCGAACGAGACGCGAGGGAAGAGAGCTTGAGCGTTGAGAAGAATCTCAGGCATGGAGGGAAAATTAAAATATGTTTCGCATTTTGTGTATGCCTGCATATTTCTTGTAGACGAATGTAATTCAGTTCTTTTCCTCCTTGTTTTACATCTCATATTTGCCGTGTGTGATGAAGTTGAAAGAGGAGAATGAAGGTTAGTGGGTCATTGTCCATCACATTGCGCGTCTCGATGATGGTCAATTTCTTTATGTTGTGCGTCTCATAAATGCTGTGGCGCGCAAATGCGTGATTAAGTGGAAAGACAACAACCTGCAACAGTTGATTACTCGCCAAACGTAAGAGTTTCATGCGTGGCTCGTGCTTTTTGCCCACACGAAGAAATGCGAAAAGTAGAATTCAACTTGCCATCAAAATATCTGATTGATGTCCATTTCACATGGCAGATTTTTTGGTGTTATCGAAAGAGGTTGGCCAATATATCACATATGGTAAATGGGAAATGAATTTTAGATGACAACATTGTCGGCATCAACAAGCTTTCATTCGCAACTTTCAAGTTTACTCGGGCACACACACTTTACCGCTCGCTGTTTATGTAAATCCGATTTACTTCGCATCTGATAGTAAATCTTGTTGAATTTCACATCAGAACATGTTTTTTTCCGAAAATACAGCAACTATTTCTCTTTCTTTTGCCTAAAAATCGGACATTGATGCCTCGTGCCGTTATATAAATTTCGCTGGTGAGAAGAATTTGTGGTGAGAGTTCTTTATATTTGTGGTCCATATTGGAGACGCACCTTCGACTTAATCGTATGCATGCAGCATTCATGCCATTCATGCGGTATGTGGAGAATGCTGAACTGCGACAAGGCGGCAGAATTGCCCTCTCGATATACACATGAAATTCGAAAGCCTCAGGGTCTAGGCCACCCACTTTTGCATACACTCTTGATGGACTTAGGCTGCTCCTACAAGAGCAGTCTCTGTAGTATATTCTCACTCAAAGAGATGATCGGTTTCCACGCCGCCTTAAGAATACTGATCGAGCGAATTCATGCGTATAATTTGTCACTCACGCATCATCCATCCAGAGTTGATCGGTTTATGAAAAAATAAAAGATGCAGAAGGTTCTCTTGTTACTTCTTTTATTCAGTTTCACTCTTTCTCATTGGTTGACTTCCTCGAAACTCTAACAATAACATACTTTTTATCATAATTGCAAACCAATCTAGAAGGCCTAATAGATTTTTTGTGGCTTTTTCCTCAACAAAGTGTCCGGCGATTAAATTGAGGAAAGGACCATTATCTTAACAATTTTCAACTCTGCCCGGTAACTTTCTATCGAATATAGGAGAAGCGACACAGTATTAAGTGAATGCAGTTTTAATTTAAACCTCATGTTGATGATACCGCGAAGAAAGCTACACACAACAACTTTTTCCGCAACACCCAAAATGGGATTATAGAGAAAAGAGAGGCGCAGATGAACAAATTGAAAATTGATTAGTGATATGTATATGGACATGTTGGAATGATGTGGTGGAATGAGACATTGAATTTCAAATTTAATGTATTTCTCTCCTCTCACTTTGTTTTTATTTAACGATGTCAACACAAATTCCACATTTTCTCTGTCGATCTTTTCACTTGTTGTGTTCTAATATTCTATAAATGAATGTCATCTGTTATTTTATTCTTGAACAGTGAAAGTAAGTTGCTTGTTGCGGTTGCTTTCGAAGCGATTTGGAGGCTTGATTTCCAGAATGGCATTTATTGCTATGGCCACGCCGAACAGAACCAGGAAGCTCACGGCGATTCCTGACCAAATGGGCGCCGACATGAAGCCAACGCAGTCGTAGGCGTCATAGAAGACTTTTCCTCCATTGAGAGATGGTTGAATCTGAAAGAGAGTATTATCATAACTGTGATCATCGTGATATAAAGTGTTAGCAGGAAGCTATTAATATTATTTCGTCCAATAAAAAGTGTCTCGTGCATAATTTTATTGCGAGAAAAACGCCCTAAAACACACAAAAGTGTCTTCTTTGACGGAATTATACCGCTCATGATAGACTAAACTGACATATTGCAGCTCAAATGTACCATTTTTCACATTAATGCGAATGTGCCCATTGAAGATCTCATGAGCAATGTGAAATATAAGCGAAATTTATCATGGGAAAAAACACTTTGGAGTGGAGATACTAAAAGCAAATGAAGACTCTTTTTGTGTGTTTTCGAAAATGCAAATGATTTCCTAAATGGAATACAATTACGTCTGAACGAGGGTTTAATTCTCTCATGATTGTTTGATAATTCAACCGATTCAACCAATCCATTTTACCAGTGTAAAATGAAATCATCACTTTCGTTTTCTTCTTCTTTCCCCCGAAATTGCGCAATAATCGACCAATTAATCTTCACTCACCTGTACATTGTCCAGAACGAGAGTGGAAGTGTTGCTGCGGAAAACTAATCCCTGAGAGCAATGCCAGGAGAACTTCATGGGTGCGTATGGTGGCTCTCCTTGCACCTGTAGCGTGGTTCGCGGCGGACTGCGATTGTAGTCCTCAACTTCGACTTCTGTAAGGTACCAGTAGCCCGATCGGGTGGGGAATTTGAAGCGCAGGAAGATCTTGCTGCCCTCCTCCGTCTTGAACTGGATCATGAGGCGAATGTAGTTCTCTCTCTCGTCCACCATCAATTGCCCGTGGGACTTCAGTTCGTACTTGGCCACCTCCTCATCATTGGAGTTGTTCTCGTAGATCTTCAAGACGGGAGCGATTGTCGTGTACATTATTGCCTTATCCTTGAGGTAGTAGACAAAGCCATCCTCCATAGGCTCGTCTGTTGGATTGGGCATGGGAGTGGATGTGGATTCCGTGGCTTCCCTCTTCCTTATCTCGTGATTGTCTTCTACATTGCTCGCCAGAATCCCGAGAACCTTGCCTTCGCCGTACGTGAGCTCGGCATTCCGGAAGAGCGTGGCCAGCTCTGAGTCGCACTGCGAGGGTGGTCCCACCAAGTGATTGACCTCGGTGTTGGGATTGTACTCCATTGAATCGGAGAAGATCCAATTCTGCGGCAGGTAAATCCAGCTGGTGTTGTTAATCACCTCCATGAAACGCGGATAGAGCTCCTGAGTGGGCCTGGCGGTGCTATTTTGCAAGAAGATAATCACATAGTTGGCCCCACCATAGATATCCTTGAGAGTCTTGTCATTGATTCCCCGCAGAGCTGACACATCCATGTCTCTCAGTCTGTCGAGGCCCCACAGAATGTAGGGGCCTCCGAGACTGGCTTGAGCAGCACCAATGGCACAAATAAGTATGAGTTTTATCGCTAAACTATCCATTCTGTACACCTTCGCCTTTTTCACACGATATCCTCAGATGTAACTAAGTAATCGATATCGCTCTTGTTGAGTGTGGCACATCGAAAGCCAACGCCTGCGCTCATTCATCACGTCTGATGTTATTTAGGGAAGAGCACTCACATGTTGTATACAAATTGAGGAGGAAACAAATATTCATAAAATCAAACCTCTCGTTTATTCATAAATTCTTTCTATCACATCAACTTGCTAAACCAACTAATTGACCTCTAACTAATACTGTGGATACTTGTAATGATTGCACATAATAGCAAAAGGAGAGCTGCTCCCGAATTCCTTCCCTGGCTGCTTTCAGGCAGTTTTCCTGGTCGAACATCTGTATAAGAAGCAAAAGTCACAGATAAATGAATAGTCACAAAGATGTATTATAAAATCTCCTTACTTCTCTCATTTGGATCTCGAACTCCGCACACTTTGTACGAAAGAGTCTTCTTTCGTCGGGTGTTGACATAGCCAGGAATGTATATTGAAGGTGCATCGAGTCTTCCTGAGCCAATTAATCTGGAGAAATCCTGTTCAAGTTTATGAGCTTCAGGACCCTTGAAGTGAATGATCATTTGGACACAAGCACCACTGTGGAGTGCCTTTGTTTTGCGAGAATCGATGCTCAGCATCCACTTAGGGACACCCATCACGTGACGAACATCTTCTAGGAACTGTGCCACTACAAATCTCGGTGGTTTCTGAATATTTATGTACTTGACAATGTCATGATCCGCCTCAATATTCGCGCAAGCGAATCTATCTTTGCTCAGATCCGGTCCGAAAATCACAACAGATCGTCCGACTGCCGTTTCTGTACCTTCGAGGGGTAGATTAGGATCTGTGAAGACTTGTCGACGGTTTCCAACGTCTATCGGTCCGAGACGCGCTGATAAATCGCCAACGTAGCACCGAAGAGGATTGTTGGGTCCACACTCTTGCTGATAGAGTTCCTCATTCAAAGGATCTGCAAGTTGGGTGTAGTAAGGATTCCAAACATATCCTCCGGCGACACATCTCGTGGCAACTTGCTGGACAGCAGCATCAACACCCACAGGATTAACGTAAACTTTCCAGTTGTGATTGTATGAAACATTCCTATCATTTTTCCCAGGATATTGAAGATTCGTCTCGATGATTGTGTCACTCTGACTTCCATCCGTACTGATGAGTTGCGTGAAACGAATGTATCCGTACGCATAGCCAGCTGGATGGTGGAAAGATGCGATGGCGCGGATTTCTCTGGCCTCCGATGGACTGTATCCTCTCTCAATTGTGCTGCAAGCCCACCTGAGATTCTTCTCCTTCTTGTGGATGACTATGGATCGTCCCACAACGCTTTCATAGCCAAATAAGGGAAGCAATGTGTCATTGTAATAGCTGCTCTTCTGATAGAGATCGTCAAGAGTTCCAAACTTCCCACTGAAATCTCCCATTTCATACTGATCTGTACTTCCTTTGGCGGGTGGCGGAGACATTTTGGGATCCACTTGCCTAGGATTCCAATGTCCATAGAGGGTCGAATCCTCACAAGGGAACTCCAAGTCACTCTCCACAGGAGTCTGAAAACAGCAATCGTGTTATTAGTCTAGGAAATACCGCACAGACAACAACAGATCATTACCATATGAACATGATATCCGCTATTCTCACTCAAACCTTTGAGCTCTACTATGAGTCCAGTAACATCGTACTCCGATTGTTGTATCATCTCCAATTTCCCAGCAACAGATAATAATTCGCCATTTGAATACCAATCGCGTGCAACAGCCTTCCGTCGAAATTGACTTCCAATTCTGGGGAGAAAAGGTGTGTTAATTGGAAATATCTTCACATTTATATGAATATATGCTATACTTAGAGCACGCAAGTCTATCTCCTCTGGCTTTTGGGCCAAAATCGTCGTAGATAACAAGGCTCTTTCCCATGATGTTGTTGTGGCCCGTAAGAGGAAGGTTTCGATCAATGAACAGCTTCCGACTGAAAGTTTGTGCTTCCGCGATACTTCCGGCTATATTGAGTGTGCCCAAGCGGTTCCACAAGTCACCAAGACGACATACACTTCCTGGTCTTCCAGTGCATGTCAGCTCTGGTGATTTTTCATTGAAGTTTACCTGCAAGAATCGCCAATGAAATGTAGAAAATCTCTTACGTTGTAACACAAGTCAATTACTTTGTATGGATTGTAAACATCTCCAGTGCTGAGGCATCTTCCTGTCCAATTGTAGAAATCCTTTCCAGGAGCTTGCTCATGAATGGCCCATCGGTGACCAACGGTACTATTGAGTGCCGCTCCATCGGCATGGACGAGATATTCAAATATGATGATTGTGTCCTCGAGAGGTTCGTCCTGAGGTTGTCTCAGCAGAATCCTCCCGACAATTGGGTAGTTGAAGAGAATCTGGGCCGTTGTCATGGGAAGAGGAACCTTATCCATCATCGGATGGTAGTAAGTCAGGAAGCCACAAGTCCAGACATCTTCTGTGATATTGCTGGGTTGTGTTCGGTTGAACTTCTGCACACTGATTCCGCGATGAGCAATACTGTATGGCCCATCGAGTGGCAGGAACACGTCCCAATAAATTCCACTGAGTTCCGAACTGGCGCCCGGGATGTAGAATGTGTGTTCTTCCAGGCGACTACGGTTCTGCAGTTTTCCTGTCAAGTCACCGACTGGGTACTGTTCCTGGGTTCCAAAGCCAGGCGGAGGCAGAATACTCAAGTCCAAATTTAGGGGATTGTAGACAGGACCAGCGCTTGGACAGAAGGTCGATTGATTAGTTCCAATTGGCGTGGGCGGAAGTGTGGTTATCTTGAAGCTGGCGACGTTTCTCGCGTACAGGAGATTCGACTCCAAGTCATTGCTAGATGATGACATTGAGAAGTTGAGCCACGTGGGATCAAATAGAGATCTCTGACTAATCGTGATTTCTCCTTTGATTCCACCGCCATTGATGAAAGTTTTTAATTTCTTTGGTTTCACGTGACGAATTTTTGCGCAAGCCAGGAAATTTTCCGGATTGTTGGAGTCGAAAAGAACCAGGTAGAGTTGCCTTTGCGGTCCAGCAATATCACTAGGCAAAAGCACCAAAGAGTCATCCCGGAAGAGCACTCTCAGTTCCTGGACATGAGGATTTGTGGCGATCTTGAGTTTGCCCAATCGTGAGTCAATATCTCCAATGCCTTTGCCATTTCCGCGATTTTCAGGATCAAAAACCAACTGAAGAATGTTGCAATTTTCCTCCAGGCGCTCATTGTCGGAATTTAGAATGTCTGTGACATAGATCTTCCAGATATGCTGAGTGAACGGAGCGTTTCCGGTCTTTCTCGACAGTTCCTGGATGTGATAGAGATTGGAGTAGATGAGAGTATCTGCGTGATCTGTCTCCTTGGCCGCCAACCATCGGAAGTAGACGGATCCCGCAATTGGTGAGATAAATCTGGCTTCGGCAATGTGCTCAAGACTTGGATCTCTTGTTGTGATCGTGGCGCAGATTCGGAAGCCGGTGTTGGGATTGCTCAGAAGCAGGGATTTTCCCCACAATCCTCGATCTCCCGTGAGCAGGAACTCTGTCTGCCACTTGGATGTCTCATTTCCGGGTAGAGTCAAGTATCCGAGAGCGTCGTCGAAGAAGAGGATCTGCGTTCCGAGCTTCTTGGCTTCGCAACGACGCCTTGGATTGGGATCACTGTAGTCCACGGGCAGCAAATGAATACTCCAACTCCATATTTGGTCTGGATACTGAAGAGTTGTCTCCAGTCGCGTCTCAATTTGAATCCTCTTGTAGTCACTGGACAGGGAGAAGTGTATCTCACCGTGGAGACCGAATTGTGAGATGTAGGCCACCAAATTGACCCCGTGAACTAGAGAGAAGAGAGATGAATATGCCGTCAATATCGCGAAACAATGGAGAGACTAACAATAGGGGAAAATTATTAATTCCACCTTAATTACATTCAGAAGTCTGGTGCATAAAATGGAAAATAATATTTTCTCAATCAAGAGCATTTCGCATTTCCGTGGGGCATTTTCTTCGCACCTCTTCACTTGGCAAATTGCTTGCAATAGCTATTTTTTCTCTATGAATACAAATGAGATAAATCTCTGATTCTTTCCCACGATTTACTACTACTGTTCTGCTTTTTGTGTCTTAATTGAACTACAAAATACAATTTTTTTTCATAGAGATGCAGTGAACAGAGTGAAAAAGAAAAGCCAAGAGGAGTGGGTCAAAAACAAAGTTATTTTGAAAAGAAAATCCAGATTATTTGCATTAAAATGCTAGCGAAATTTATCACTGTCTCGAGAACTCGTCCATCGAGATTCTTGAAGCAATTATCAAAAGTGGTCTCGAAAGAGGGACTTTCTAACGCTGAACGACGGCATTGCCACGCATAAATTTCTTCAACGTCATTCCGGTTCAATTGGTTGCCTTGTACCACGCCACTGAAATCGAGAAAGTCTCGAGTATCTTGGCACTAATCGATTCTTACCGTGTTGGATGAAGAGTGTCACAGCAATTACGATAAATCTCCACATTCTCAGTGCATTTTCCGCAATATGGATCAAGTGGAAAAGTTACAGATTGCACTTGAAATGTACACTGATTTGGTCTCTCTTCTTCGGCTCACTGAACTGCACCTCTTAACTGTATATTCACACAACAATTGCTACCATCTTTGGCAGTGAACACGAAATGACTAACTGGTGGGAACAGGTAGAGCGAGTCTCACCTGAGAATATTCCCCGCTCGAGCCCCACTCACTTTTCAGCTCTCTCTCTCCATGTGATTCATTGGTATTCGGCGTGTCTGGAGAGTGAATGAGTTTGTTGGGCACACAGACACGGAGCCCGCCGAAAGACACACTCTGTAGGAAGAAAGAGTTGTGCAAAAGACATCAAGAGGTGCTTTTGTGGGTGAAATTAGAGGTTTCCATTCATCGTTTTGCAAATGATTGAACTTGGTTTAATGTTTATGGAGTTCCGCGAAATTATTAGCATCTCTAGGAACTTGCAAACTTTAGTTCATTGGGGAAAAGCGTTTAACTGTTTGTGCGGATCATACCTATAGTTATTAAGACTTATACGGTACAATTTAATTTGTGTATTCTTTTACAAATCTGTTAAATCAACTACGTGTATGTCTAGTATATTTTTAGATTTCATGATAGACCATTGAACAAACAGGAAAATTTTAGAGTGCGTTACAAACGTCCTAAATGGAATTAGGAAAACTCAAAAGCTATACATCTAATTAATCAACTAGCTTTGGCTGATTATTTGGCGTTTTGAATCTATAAATTTAACTTCAAACATTGGCAGTTTGTCATGTGCAAAATTAGAGTAGATCAATTAAATGTAGGACAAGGTGACCTCAAGGTCATTCTCGATCAATGATCAGCTCAGCAACACTCCGATCTCCAATTGAATTGGGTGGGAAGAAGAAATAACGCATTTCGGTGTATCATGTAATTGGTTTTATGTAATTATACACAAGATTTTTTTTTGCAAATTACACATTAATCCGGTGGTGACTCTTCGATGGTGATTTTCGAGTCCCATACACACGTTTACCCCTAAAGAAGCTTGTCGTGTCAATCTTCTACAAATCCTCATTTGCTGTCTTTACATTCGTGTTCTTGTTCTATCAATGATCGGGAGGGGGCAGGTGTTTAAGAATGCCCTCACTGATGGTAAAAATCTACATGCGTGGTCTCTTTATTTTTTCCGTTTTTATTCAAAATAATTAACGCCATTAGATCCTTCTTAATTTTTCATTCTTGATGTACATCCTCAAAGATTTTTTTTGGTGTGGTTGATTTTGATGTTGTTCACGCGACAGATGGTGTTGTCGATTGCTGTTTGACTTGATCAGATGAAATGGAATTGATGAACAATGATACTGTCAATGTCTTATTGTGAAAGTTAGGCGGCCTCCTCCTCCTCCTCGTCCTTGCCGGTGAGCATGGCGATGAGGGCGGCGGTGTCGATGAATCCTTTGTCGTCAATCACCATCTGATCGTAGGCGTCATCCACCTCGTTGGCGGTGAACTTATCGCCCCAGGTCATGAGTGCTTGGCGCAAGCGGTCGCCGTCGATCTTGCCATCGACATCGAATGACTTGAATGCATTGATGACGACATCATCGTCATCGGAGGCACCAGCGGAGGCCATGCGGCTCGCGAAGAGCGTGAGGAGCTGTGTGAAGTTGATGGGTCCGGAAGCCTCGCCCAGCATCTCGTCCAGCTCCTTCTCAGACACCAGCTTGCCAACAGAGTCGAAGGTGGCGCGCAGGTCATTCTTGCCGATGGTGCCGTCCTTGTCAGCATCCATGAGCTGGAAGGCCTCTTTGAACTCAGCCACCTGCTTCTGGGAGAACATGGAGAAGACATTGGAGCCCGTGCGCTTGGCCTGGCGCTTCGAGCCGCCGGAAGCGCGCGACGACTGGCGGGTGGACTCGGACTTGGCTGGTGTAGCGGCTGGCTCGGGGGTTGGGGCCTCAGTGGGCGTCTCGGACGCGGAAGCCTCTCCCTCCTTCTTCTTCTTCTTCACCTTCTTCTCCTTGTCCGCCTGCAAGAAAGACAAGGACACCGTTCAGTCATCCGCCGCATCCTTACGCGCTAAAGTCTCAGTCGCACATTCCATTGCGAGTCACATGATCGGGAATTCCTGACCACCAGTGAGAGCGCACACCGCCGAAACGGGCAGTATCAGATATCACTTGGGTGATTCGGTTGGGGAATCGCGGCATGGTGGTCAGGGACCTTGTTACGGCAGAGGCTGGGACCAAAAATAGAATCACAGCAATAACAATTCAACGGACGAGAGCGTGTTACGTGCACGAAGTTGAAAATAGAATGCCTGAGAAATGTGCCAAATGGATTTTCCACACAATTTCCCCATTTGAAAGCCTTAGGAGTCGCATTAGAGATCACATTATATTCCCCCTTAGCACTGATCCTTTTTGCTTTCAATGAGGATGCACACAATTAGAAAAAAAAAATCCACTGATTTGCAAATTCCACTTGGCTCCATTGATAAGTTTGTGTAATCCTGATTGGAATCCGCATTTCCTTGAGGAAAATCGATCATCACAGTTTAATCCACTCGAGGAGGAATTCCTGGCAGGAAATCCCAAATCACTTTCACTCAAACTCAATCCCGAAATCCTCATCAATCCTCTTATTCCACTCAGGATATCTGGTCGAAGGCTCTCCACTTGTGGGAGACTTACCATTTTGCTGGTTGATCTGAGTAACGACTAGTATTCACAAGAGGCCTACAGCAACTGAAAGAAAGGCGACGCCCGAACTATGAGCAGTGCTTTAGTCCGCCGAAGAGGAGTTCTATCATATTCACTTATACTTACACTCCTTATTTAGTAGCCGAGCAGTGTATTCTCATTCGTTGGACCAAATCTATAATTAAACTTTTCAACTTACAACACAAAACCAAGACAGCGGCACGAGAGTCGAAATAACACAAGATTGCTCGCTGAATTGTATTCCTTCGCTTTTCGCGGTGGCTGGCATGTCGACAAAGGGAAATGTAGTCACTCTCTGGGGCGCACCCCCGCCCTCCCCGCCAATCATCCAATCTCTCTTCCTCATCAGCGGATTTGCGCGCAGGGAAAATCCACTACAGCCAAAGCCGAGGAATTTTATATCCCCTCCCTTCGCTTTTGATAAGGTCATCGCTCACCCAATTTGCACCGAAAGAGAGCCATTGACACAGATTATTTGAGAAAAGCGCCTGAGGCTGCCATTGCGATGTTTTCCAAAATGCCAGGAATTCTAGTGAATTAATTCAAATCTTCAGCTGATTTTCGCAAGCGTGTCTATGGATATGGAAACAGCCATAAATTTAAGCTGTATGCGAAGATTTTATTACACCAAGTCAAGAAAGGACTCTTCATCTACCCATCATGAGACGATAGTTAAAAAATTATGAGTTATGAGACATTTTTGTTTTAAAACAAGATCATGACGGGAGCAGAGAAAGCAATATTGAATGTTTTACTGACATGAGTGTTCAGGAAAATAATGATGGAGAAGAATTTGCTTTAAATATGGTGTAAAGAAAATCTTATTAGAAATTCAGAATTTAGAGATTAAAAGAAATGGGAGACTGATGGAAAATTTGGTCGATGGTTTCTGATTGAGTACGCCAAAAAAACTCAAATTTTAGGGGTCAGATTAAAAATAGTTTCTGTACTTATGTAGAAAATTTAAAGATCATAATGCGAGAATTTTCTTCTTGAGCCAAACCGACTGAAAAATGATTGAAAGATGATCATGGCTTTATCCTCTCCATATTCTGAATTATACATAATCATATACCGTATTTAGGTCAGGTTTTTCTTTACAACGCTCAGAAAGGATGAATTTTATAATTTTAGATCAATAACCATGGCACAGGAATTCGCTTTCGCTTACAGAGACGGAAAGTTTCAGTTGCCAAAGGAATTCTTACACCAATACTTGTTCAGGTAAGAGATTAATGAGATGTATTAATTACTTCTAGCCATTCATATGAAAATCTACAGTTGGATTGCGCGATATTAAATTTCTCCTCAGGATCCATTGTTTTAAAATGCGGATTTGACGTTGAATCTCGAGGGTTATTCTTGTAATATAAAAGTAAGCTAATAATTTCTCTATAATCAAATCAAAAATAGATTTTGAGACGTCTATTTTTCTGGCTGCGCGGCAGAAGATCACCTACAATATATTCATTTGCGTATTTTGCGTGGTCTTGAGGTGCTGTGTTATTTTTCTTGGGCATCTTCAGGCAGCCTTTGAAGCAGTTTCTCACATGCCATACATATTAAATCTGTTGGAAAAGCAAATCGGAGTGTGGCGATAGAAGAGCTTTAATTGAAGGATCACTAGAAATTGAATTTTCCGAGTCATGAAGCATCGAAAGAATCTCTTTGCAAAATTAAAGCTATAAATTCTGCACTCTGTCATCAATGAATTTTATTGAGGATGCATGAATCTCAACTGCAACGACACGAAAAGCAAAATTTTGCATATTAGCAGCACTTTGTGCACCAGAACTGGTGAACATCTCTCAATACTTGAATGATTAAGCTCATTGGAATGGCTGTGAGTTATGTAAAGAACTCCTCCGTGAATTGTATCGTAAAATTTACATTGAAATAACTTCGCGCTGTGTCAAAAATAGATTCAACACTTGATTTTTATAGCTAAACTCTGTCTATATATTGGAAGACTGAGAATTTCCCATTTACACATAGAGATCATTCAGTTTGTGGATTCATTTAGCCTGAGGCTTTGGTGTCCTAGCGCCGAAAATTGAAGTTCCTACACGGACAATTGAGGCTCCGGCGATTACCTGAAAGGAACAGATTGTTTAGTGCTCTGGTATAAGTGAATCTGTGTAGAATTCTTACAGCATCTTCAAAATCATGAGACATTCCCATTGAAACGTGCACATCCCGGGGATTAAGATTGAACTCTTTCACGATATTTTCGTGACACTGCATGAGCGCGATGAAGTCTTCATTGGGACCGCCAGTGTAGTCTTCAACATACTTCCCAATCGTCATGACGCCTTCCACGCTTAAATTGGGGCACTTCTCCTTGATGAATTTGTACAGACTGGCAGCGTCTTTTGGCTGAACGCCACTTTTTGCCTCCTCCCCACTCGTGTTCACCTGCACAAGGACCCTGAGTCTCTCTTTGTCCTCCTTCTGTACCTTCTCCCAGGCTTTGTTGATCACCGTCGCCAAATTCTCCGAGTCCACAGTCTCAATCATATACAGTCCGGGCACGGCCAGCACCTTGTTCACCTTGTTGCTCTGCAGATGTCCGATGAAGTGCCACTTGATCTCCTTGCACTTATCCAGAATCTGCACACTCAGACCTTTCTCTGACAGCTCCTGGACGTAGTTCTCCCCGAAGTGTTTCTGCCCAGCAGCATACGCTTCCGCGATCACGTCAGCGGGCTTCGTCTTGGCAACAGCCACGAGGAAAGGTTTCTCCGTCTGAAGAGCCTGGAAGCAGTAAATTCTGATTAATCTTCAATCCTTATCTGTCTGACCTTCTGGCTATTCTATTGTTTATTGCCATTTCTATCTGATAAGATGGGAAATCTTACTGGCGGGCGCTTCTTGAAGGCCTCCTCAATCCTCTCGACGACTAGTTTGAGATTTTGCTTGATGTCCACTTCCGACATGATCCTACGATACATATGCTAAGAGAAGCGACAAATTAACAAGTGTACTTAGAGGGGAAAAGTGCACACTTTTGTTGGGAAGATTCACAATCCCGGTTACTAACAAAAAAAAACACACGGAAACAGCTGATTGTCAATGGTTTCCATTGGAGAATTTCACGGATTCCACGAGGCGATTGGTGTTGGGAATCTAGGCTAAGGCGATGTGTCTGAGCTAATTCGATGAATTCCTCGATGTAAAATATTTTGAAAAGTAACAGTTGCGCCATTGATGACGAATTTCATTGTTGACCAATCTTCAGACTTGATAATCTATACACAGAAGTTAAATTACACTTCGTTCAATGAATAAATTTTTTTATAATAATCATTATTGCAAAAAATTCAGATTTTGGCATTTTTTGCTTACTGTTTTTTTTTTTAATTATATTGTTTAGTAACTATTAATTAATAGTAGTTTTAGTTTTTTATGCCTAATCGAATTTCCTCAAAATTGTAAAAACAATAACTTCACGTGAAATCTTCAGTCTATTGTATATTTTTTGACTATAAAGTTCAAAGAAGAAATAATTGCCAGTAAATGCATTCCATTTATCCTCTAACTTTGAAATCACTATCCAGACTTTCGGCTAAATTGGATGCAATATGCTGTAATGAATAGCATTATATATTCTGGTGAATTACTATAATTGTCAACTCCTATTACGGCATTCAAAATTAGCAGCGCCATTCACGCGGGAACGATCCTCAGCGCCATTTGCAGCCGAGGAATGATTGATGCGGTCCCTGAGTTGAGGGATAGTGATTGCAGTTAAATTGCCGGGAAGGGAGATAATTCAATAGCAAGGGAGGACAAATTCACTCCTGTCTGCCGCATAAGGACTCTATTATCCTCGGGCATTATTATCGAGTGACTGTGTTAACTGGAAAATTATTGTGTTCCCAGGAGGAAGTGACTTCGCTCGCTCGGGCACTGGGGATCGTTCGAATTTGGCGAAAATGATATTGATAGTGTGTGCGAGATGGGAAAAGTTGAATGAGAGCCAATCTGGCGGGATCAAGGCGACATCAGAGGGAAGAGAGAGACTCTGCAGCTTCTGCACATTCACTCGTGAAATATGTTATGATTTGTGATTATTATTATTTTATGGGTGTCCCTTATTGTTGAGTTTAAATTGAGTGCAAAAAATGTGCGTGTTTGGCTTCTATTTTGTATAGAAATTGCTACAAGTCTTTTCTCATATTCTGCGCGCCAGGGCGAATGAAAAAGCAAATATAGGACTTTATTGCTTGTTCATTTTGTTACACACTCCGATGAACTTATAAGGAATTTTTTGGCGCCTCGCAATTTTTTCGGCAGTCTCTCATCAACCGCTATTATTCCCTTGATGTAGCGATTTTGCACACTTCCTTACGTGCTTAATTATGCGAAAATATACTTTAATTGCTATGTCCGAATGTAATTCTCGGCTGAGGTGACATGAGTGTTATGTCAGGAAACATTAAAATTAATTTAATTGTGTTAATTTACGACTGACATGATGCAGAAAAAATTGGACGAAAAAAAAAGAGTTTGTTCTTCTTTTCCCCAACACTTCGTGGGCATTTTCAGCCACATACCAGAAATTTCACGTGAAGATTGCTGATTGGCTGCTCTCTCGAGAAGATGATTTGGTGACCTTTCCACGATCCCCGATAATTACTGCGAGCTAAAGATCACACTTTCTTGAGCCATGTTTCCAACAGCGTCTCATCGCCCGGGGAATTCGGTTGGAGTTGGAAAAGTGTAGGAAAGTGTGCGAGAGACTTTGCTGACTGCTCTCAATTTGGTTTTTTTCTTCTTTTCAATAGGGAAGTAAGGAATAAAGCAGCCATGATTCTATGATCACTCTGAATGTTTAATTGTAAAATTCTACTCTTCAAAAGCAGACATAAAATATATGTATATGCGGAAAGCTGCAATTCCTCTGGAGCACCAGAGAGTGAAGCCCAAAAGCAAAGAACTGTTTGCGCATGCAAGAAGTCGATTAATTAGAGTGTTAGTCATCTCGCGCACACCTAAGCGAGTTCCAGCAATAAAATTATCCTGTGCACACATGAGTGAAAAATTTATTGTTGTAATTAATTTTTAAATTAGCTGTTATTTTCGGAAATGTGTCAATTAACAAAACAGACAAACGAGAAAATTAATTGGTTTGGAGTGACAGAAAACGATTGATTATTTTGTTTCACTCTTAAATTTTTTTTACACCTTTAATTCCATGTTTTGTGAGCATTCTTCTCGTCCCGGGGCGTCTTTTTCTGGGATCTCTCGAAATTTTTTTTTCTGCCTAATTTTGGGTCATTGTCATTGATGAGAGGAGGACAATGACAATAAGAAGGAAGAGAGACATTTCTTATATGCATAATACTGGCGGGTGTCGTTAAAACAATCAACATGGATCTCTGTGATTTCTCGCTCTCGGAGATTCCTTGCCCAGCCAAATTGGTTTGATGGTGAGGCATGATAATTTATTTAAACTTTTTCCGTCTGTCCATCTGAGAACTGACAATGTTTGGAAGCGTATGTGGGTTATAATTTAGACATCTTCATCTTGTTTTATTGAACATCGTTTTGAGCTCATTTACTTGACCATAAAAACGTGTATAAAGTTAAATTAGACTAAATATCTATTCGGTTTCTCTCGACACTGACATGTTATGCGTGTTTTGAGGTGGATGCTAAAACTCCTCTGTTCCTCTCTCAATTCCAACACCCGGATGGCAAATTGATTTGGACGAGGAGCCACAACGTCAGATCAAATAAAGTCATTCGAACGAGGGATGGACAATAACTCTGTTGTAGGTATTGTAGTTATTGTTCGGCAGGAATTGGTGACTTTTATGGATTCCTTTGCAAAATGCCAAAATTATTGCTATCGTCAATATAAAAGGAGGAAAAATGTGATGCTGCTGATGCAGCCTCCTTGGGCGAAGGAGAAAGAGTGATAAATGATATGAAACAACATTTCGCTTGAAATTTGTCAACGAAAAAATGACTTCTTTCTCTTTTGGCATTTTGTGTGGCTCAGCGAGAGAGTGCTGGCCAACAATAGAGGACGAGCCACTCATATATTGTTTATTAACAAGATCCAGTGCAGATCGGCAAGAGAAATATGGCACAGCCATATAATATTAGATTAATAAACGAGAATATGTTTTTGTTGGACCTATTTATATGATACAATGCAAGAAAATGACTTCTCTTTCTGTCTTGAAATTCGGTCGCATTGTTGAAAAATTGGGCACATTCGTTCAGCAATTTTATGGTCATTGTTACAAATAACACACCACTTGAAATGAATACAATTCGCTCTTGTTCGTCTCTTCTGTTAAGAAAACAGAGGCAATATCTTCACAATAGGTCAATGTGGTTACCTTTTATGATGACACTCTTTCTCAAATTGCTATTTTAACTCCTCGGCTCATCTTGATGTACTCTGCAGTGGTCTCTCAAGGGCCAATCAGCTCTAAATAAATTTATATTGTATTGTTGTTGAGACTTTCTGGGAATTGGTAGGTACGTGAATTTGCCTTCTTATGATTTTACATAAATTCAGAATGCCGTCGGCGAGAGCTATCGATTACATCACACTCACGTGGAATTGTATTTAGGGGTTGTGGGAAAATTGTAATGATTAGCCTTCACTTTTCCTTGGCAATGAATCTAAATTTCCTGTAATGTCTAAAGTTCCTTCGCACTCTTTGCAGAGACTTTTGCCTGCCCTTGTCGTGACTTTGTTGTTGCGAGAATGGTGACAAAAAGAAGTGACCATCTGGAAGAAAGTCCTTCGTGATTGCTGGCAACACGAAAGCCATAATTCATCCACCACAGCAGTCAACTGCAGCAAATTACACACTCATCCGATTTGGATTGCCTTTTAATTTCATATTCCTGTGCCATGCTCATCCTGCCAATTAAATGGCGATAGAGGACAACCCCTCGAATTAATGGTGAAAGCGGTATAAACGGCCTCCCTCCTAAAATTTCACCAAAAGCCCAGCACTCGATGATCATCATCAGATTCGCTATAATTTGAGTCGCCCTTCGCTGTTTACTTTACAGGGTGTTAATCCAATCAAAAAGTGAACGCTCCTCGCCATCAAAATGCCGACTGGGGTGCAGCTAAGGAAGGGTGGTTGCATTTTATGCGCGGACTCACTCTCAAGAAAAAATATTGCCATTCGGAGGGAAGGAGATGGCTGTCCTATGCAATATTTGGCCACCTCTAGGGATGATACCCGTGAATTTGAGTCAATATATCGGGCGAAAATGTGAGGGGATGAAATCTCGTTTTTCGTCAAATATTTTTCTAAGGGGTTGCTCTTGCAAACAGAACAAATTTCTCTCATTCCATCCATAATGCACGGCTCATAAAATATACTTCGCCTCTCTATTGTATTCGGTTACATCCATGTGTGTGAACAATATAATTTGATTAAAACGATACCATCCCCTTCCCACATTAGACGGTAAAAGACTTTGTGGCAACGAGCGTATAATTCACCGAAGATTACATCAAAACGAACTTCATCCCCTTCGGTTGTGTTTTCCTTTCATTTTCACTCAATGAACCAATTATAAATTCAGGCTGCTTAAGTGTTACCGCTTTGGTAATTGATATGGCGATTTTATTCTTACAGAAGAAAGGAACTTGACTTACGCAAATGAATGTCTACAATTTACATATTATAATTTAAACGATCTCAACCCGTTAGGATTGTACTGAAGTTTTCCTAAGATCAAACTAAGCGATGAAGTAATTTTTAAACTCATATATTTTAATTTTCCTACATTTTTCCTAAACTCAGTTTGATAAACCAAGCCTGGCAAAGTTATTAACTTTCTAGGTCACAGTTGTAATATTTTGAGATTCTCTCTGTATGTTTTACATTCTCACGTTGTAAAGAAAAATCCTCTCAAAAATGCTACTCATCCTTGGGTGGTGAAAATGCTATTTCTGTTCCATGCAATTGTGACAATTTTTCCCGTGATAAATCACAGCGAAATGCGGAGAGAATTTCCACCAAATTGTGTGACTGTGCTTAACATTCCACCAATTTCTCATGTTCCCTCCTCTCTGCTGCTTAGCAATGTAGATGACGTCGATTAAATAAATTCACCC